TTCTCCTGAGCAGAGACACCCATATCAGCCACATCTGTCGTATAATAGTCAGACGCCAAAAACATATCCACGGTTTTATCCAAAAGGGCTTGGAATTCACGGTTCTCAAGCAAGTACGGATTCAAACGCCAGCTGCCAGGACCCAACTGGACGCCAGAGGTGACCAGATCGATTGTGAGGAGGCTGTGATCGGTCCACTCAGGTGGAATGTGGTGAGTCTGAGTGTTGATGATACGAGTCGCCATAGGAGGAGGAGCAAAGACATAGTCAATGGTGGTGCCAGCTTTAGGGAGAGTCATTGTGCCTTTTGGAAAACAGTTGAAAAAATGAGTGTTCAGCCATTCAACAAAAGGTTGGACTCTAGGGAGACGAGCTTCGACCGCATCATGTAAATGGATATTGAAATCCCCAAGCAAGATCCACTGGGAGTCAAGCATATCAGACCAGAAGGGCATGGACATCAGCTCCTCCAGGAAAGCATAGCGATGGGCTCTGTGCACGGGCATGTACACATTAGCTATCTGGCATATGGTGTGATTAGCGTCCTTAATAGTGGCGGTGATGCAGCGTTCGTCACGAGAGATGGTGGCATCCGCGAGCTCCAAGCCTTGCTTCAGACACACTATTGCACAATGCTTCGAGACGACAAAGGAAGACCGAGGAAACATAAAAGAGAAAGCACGCACATTATCATCAGTGAGGTGGGCCTGCTGACGGTAATGAGAGACCTCCTGCAGACAGAGAATATCTAGCTGGAGGGTTTTGGAGCGCAGAAAGGAAGTGAATTCCTTCTGTATAGATTTTGAGGAACCCTTAAAGATGCTCCGGGCATTAAGGGTACCTATGCGCAATGATTGTTGTATCATTATGCCCTATGGGCGACATGATACACTTGAGGCTGCGACATAGACGTCGAGCTCATAGAATGACGGCGGAGAGAGGGCACATCAGTCTGGAAATCATTGGGAGAGGAGACATTGTCAGCAGATAACTTGGGATCCAAATGCATATGGAAGGACGAAGCTAACGGAGCATGCTTAGAAGCATCGCTACCGTTGGGAGAACGCTGGAGGGTCTGGGGATCTACCTCCATCACATCCGGAGACTGGTCCCAGGTTTGGCTGTCATTTGCGGAAAACAAGGTACTGATCTGGCTACTTGTGAGCTCGGTCGTTTTGCCGGCTAGCTTGTCTGTGGTGGTGGGCTGAGATGGCAGTTGCTGCGCGAGAATATCATTGATCGCAGGGGATGCTCTGTGGCCCTTCTCTTTTTCGTTAACTTTATCAATTGGAGTGACTGAGTAGGAATCAGTGTGATCCCTTTGGCTCGACTCATATTCAGCGATTGCTTCGTCAAAAGGCTTCTCTTCCTCTCGACAGAACTTAACAGTGTGTCCCAACTTGTGACATTTGAAGCATTTGCGTTTAGCTAGGATAGGACAAGCAGCGCGAATGTGTCCACTCTGACGGCAGAAATGGCAAACTGGTGGTGCTCCTCTGTATGTCGCTGGCACATAGACATCCCAGGCGGAAAGGTAAAGCATGCGACTCAAAGGCTGTACGTCGTAGGAGTGACCTTCCGCGTCAGTGTACTTGACCGAAGTGTCGATCAGGAAGCTGACATGACCCTCAAAGAAGCCATCAACAGTGTACTTCTTGATTTGGTATAGCTTACCATAGTATTTCAGCGAGCGTTGCAAGTCCTCCAGAAAAGTGGTCATGTTTGGCATGCGGACAATAGTCATCTGCACATGGGTGAGTTTGCCCTCGCTGTTGTCCTTGACAGCAGTAGCTTTGTATACCACATCGCCATGAGTGATGCCGTTGTTGATGGCTCGTTTGGCATCCTCAGGGGAGTCAAATTTAGCTTCCACCAAGAGGTCTCCAGTTGACTTCTGGTGATACAGACTAAGGGGGCGAAACTGGACATTAGCAGCTATTTGTTCCTGAATGAGGCGATACGCTGTTGTACGATGCACAAAAAGTTTGTTTGGAAAGGTAAACAAAACCGATCCCGGTGTCAAAGCTTGCTGCAGGATGGCAGTAGCTTTACGAGTGAGCACCTCGGCCTTCAGATCTTCGTGTTCGAACATAACTTCAGGAATTAGTTTAAAATGGTCATCTTTAGCTCGCTGTTGTGGAGCATTGATGACCTTCTTGGAGAGGCCTCGAGAGAGGACCGTGACCCAAGAGAGGTCAGTGGTGGTAGCCATGAGGATGGGTAGTGGAACGCTGGTGGTTATAAGGTTGTAGATGTGATTTAAGCAGTGGCGTAATTTTCACCTTAGGGGTAGTGATGGTTACGCGAAATAGCTGTATTACATCAAAATGTTGCCCTCGCTCCAAAGCAACCCCTGAAACTTTGTTTGAGAGACTTTAATATGCAAAATCTCGACACTTTCGTCTAACACCTCATTTTATATTCTCAAACATTGCTCGATAAGCTCTTTCATAACATCTATTGCAATCAGCACCATTAGATGCGCCTTGAAAAGTACTCCAAGAGAGCTTAAGGAAGGATGCGTCCACCATTACGACTTACATAGTCGAATTTGGCAAAATAGATGAATTGAGTCGATTTTGAACAGAATCTGGCCAATCTTGAACGAATGCATTTTGTCGAGGATTTAATTAGTGTTGGCTGGCCAGTATGCCTTTTTCTTGAAGGTAATCGATGTTTTTGAAGTGAATGAGAAGGGAATTATGAATTGAAAGGAAGCTGTAGCATAGTATAGATAGTTTCTTTGGTTTTGTTGCGTATTTCTGAATTTAATATATTTCTTTGCTGCGAAATGCTCCTCCGAGTGCAAACTTGCCAATCCCATTCAAAGATTCAATTTTTCGAGTACAATCCCTACTAGCCGACCTATCTCGCTACGCTCGATGTCGACGTCGCCCTGCGGGCTCTCGCCGAAGGCTTTTCAAATCAGAGATAGTAAAAGTCTGGTATAAAAGTAAATTTTAAACAATGACTATATTAGGGATAAAACTTGATTTAAAAGACAAAACTTTGGAGGTACAAATCAATATTTTTTATGCAGCATTTACGTTATATTATTATAAGACTTCTGGTTTACTACATCCTCCGTCCGAGTCGCATTTTCTGGCGGCAGAACTGTGATACCATTCGCGGGTGCTGCTCTTGAGATGGCGACACAGAGCTGGCCATGCATAAACACAGGACTTTTATGAGATCTACAGCGACTTTTTTGAGATATTGTCATTGCAAAAGACACATTTATAAGAAAAACCTCCCAATAAAAAAAATTATTTGGTCTAAGCAATTGCAATTTCAATTCCATGATACTCATTTGATCAGCATCGCAGCCATCATTGTTATCATCATTGTCATTATCAGAAAGGGCATCTGGGCCAGCCAGCAGCAGCGCCACCCACTAAAACCAATTGAATTTCCGCTAATTTTTTTCTGTTCAAGATTGGACAGATTCTGTTTTTTTTTCGACTTCTTTAATCTATTTTATGATATTTGACTATATGAACTGTGGTTATCATCCGATGCATCCTAATAAATTCTAAGAGTATTTTTCAAGGCGCTTCCAATGGTACTAAAAGTAATAAGTGTTTTGAATGAAATTATTGAGAGATTTGGTAAAATTTGAAATGGGGTTTTTAGTGAAAATATCCACATTTTGCATATGAAAACCTCATAAAAGTGGTTTCAGAGGTTGCTTTGGATCGATAGAAACATTTTAATTCAAGATATACCATAGTAAAAGTCTTCATTTTTGGAGTCAAAAACGCGATCGTTTGATTTTCGATGAAAAGGATGAGGGGTACCTCATGGTTTTTGGTCGATTTTTGACCATGTTTTTTTTTGGTCCCAAAAAGTTGAGCAAAGGTGTCAGGAAATTACTACTATTCAAGTACAGTTGTTTGGCGTTATTCTGGTGACTCATAAAGGCCTGCATGTAAAGATATGAAGGCTTGAAAACTATCCAATTTGGTTATGTTTTGCTTTATGGCTTTTATTTACACTGCATAAATCATATCTTGGTAGCTGCAATTTATTGGAAAGGCAGTTCTGTAGCTTGGGCAATTTTTAATTCGAACAGAAGGAATATTGATTTTGGTAAAACTGATTCATGCAAATTTCGATGCGCTATGTTGCTGGTAAGCTTACTAACAATGGAAATGAAAACCCGAATTTGCTGCTTGAATATTCTGGTTTTGCACCTTCGCTTTGCAACGGTAAAGCCTTCATTGAGATTAATATTACCAAATGGTGGGTTAGAGGCTTAGTTGCCATGGTTTTTCACCTTTAATTCGCTACGGTAAAACTATCTCATAGGTCAATGTTACCAAATGTTGAATTAGATGCGTTATGTTTTTGGTGGATGGACTGAGCACCTCCTCCAAACCCTCTCCCCAACGCCGGCTTCATTCACCTTGTACGGTACTCAATTCTTTAAATTTCTGAAAGGACATGCTTTGTTTGTCTACTTTTTTGAATGTTTTACAGTATATATATAGTGAAGATTGTAATAACAATACCAGAAAGGAGCTTTACCAATACTTGAAGAATAAACCACATTAGGCAATTAGAAACTGGTCAAATTCTCAGGTTGTGGCGGAATCCTAGATTTCGCTTTATTACGAGGAGGATTTAAAGAGCTACGAGTACGATTTTGCATCTCTAAAATGGCATGACAAAATGAAGGAAAAGCAAAGGCTGATCATTTCATTGAAAGAACGCTGCCTCGATGTCATTTCCATCAAAAGGCATGAAGATTGTTGGCTTCAAGTTAGTGCAACCTACAATTAAAACACACACTTTATTAAATGAGTAGAATTATATGATTATCGCACAAACTTACTTAATGAATCCACTTTGTGTATTCAAAATGTATAAAACAGTGATTAGTCTTCTTAAAGGGAAGCGGCCCCTAAAAGCTACGACATTGCTGTTCTTGCTCAGGATCTTGTTTCTCCCTCTTTCTTTGTATCTCTCTTTTCATCTTTTTTTCTTTCATTTTACAAATCATGTTTACATCTAGCGAACCAACAACACCCAAAGCTGCTCATCAAAAAAGTCGGGATTCGCCGTCGATTGTATCCGAACAGCAATCTTACAAACACATTGATACCACAGCATTGATCAATAACAACAGTTCCTCGAGCCTCGACGAAGTATTAGAAGCTGTTTCCACTCGTGTGTCAAGCACAATCATCGCAGGTACTTGTACAGTCTATATATGACGCAATGTTGGAAATGTTAGCCGAGTTATTTTTTTTTTTCGAAAAAAAATTAAGGCTTTTTATTTATACATCTTTTCTCCTATTTTTTTTTTCCCTCTTTCTTTCTCTTTATAAACTAAACAGACTTCCTCTCTTAGGATCTCTCACTGTGAAAAATCAAAAAGAAGCACATCATCATAGCAGTAATAAGAATGCCATGCTCAAAGCACATGAAATAATTTCCATACAAGACCGAGTTCCAGTGAAATCAATTCGAGTTGAGCGAGATTATTCTCTGGGAGATGGCATCACTCGCTTTAGCACACAATATCCAGTTGAATTAGAGGGAAAAGTAAAGTGTAACAAAAAAAAGCAGGTGTAGTTTTTCTATATTTAACAAGAGGTCATAGATTACAACGGAACAATTTCTTCATACAATAAACGAGATCAACATCATCATGGATTACGCCGATAGACTGTCATGGAGGATCGTGCTTGAGAACATCATTGAAACACTCACCATATATCTATGGCCTATTCTATTTTCAACACATTATCAAAGAGTAAGGCATACACAGCTGTACAGGAGTATTTTTGGTTTATTGACTAGATTTATAGGTTGTGAAACGATTGTTAGCATTTATTGAATCAGAGAATTCCACTATTTATTATCCACACTCATTATCCATATCAAATCCTGTCAAATCAGCGTTTCTTTTTGTAAGCAGAATTCAATCTAGCCATGGAAGCACACTAATTGTTCCTTGTGTAGATTGAAATCAACTTTTATGAATAGCCTATGTAACTTATACCCCTTCCCATCGTGTGCTACCCCCTTTCAATTACACATCTTAAATAATATCTAATCTACGACACACTGAGAAATACACTATAGCACCGCAAAAGCAACATTTTATCATTTTCGGAAGCAAACAAACATAAAGAGGACTACATTCTCGGTATGTGCATACATGTGTCTACTGAGGTGCACAATGCATTATAGGAATAAATAAAGAGTTTGATCATTAAATTAAGATTGGTATATACCAAGTTAGGCAGAAGCTGATTCATGCATTTCTACATATTCAGCCGCAAGAGCAGCAGCAGATGATGACGGGAAATCCATGGCGACTTGAACAGACGCAGCATCATTTTCAATTACAAGATCACCAGTAGCAACATCTTCTTTTTCGTCATCCAGTTCACGATGGTTACCAAGCAAGTGTCGGATGCTGTCGAGCAGATTATCGAGAGCTCCAGCTTGTCGAAGTTCAGCCGTTACAATAAAAGCACTTGGTTTGGCAATAGCAGCGGCAGCAGATGCGGAAGGAGAGACATGTTCAGCAAGAGGTGGTGGGTAAGCTCTGTTGGACTCAGCCTTGACAGCGATTGTATCTTTATTGCTGTTGGCACCACTGTTATCGAAAAGATCAATGTTGATACCATCATCATCATCGCCATTGCCAATGTTGATGTCAATGTTGAGAATACCACCAAGACCATCAAGCAAATTGTCAAGAAGGCCAGATTGTTTGAGATCCGTGCTGGGCTTTGCGGCAGAAGCAGACACCGAGGCAGAGGTATCTTTCTTGAGCACCAAGTCATTGTCGTTGCGATCGCCATCATTTTCATCGTCAAGACTTTTTCTGGGAGGTGTATCGTCGTCGTTGTCGTTATGACCAATGTTGATATCAATATCAAGAATGTTACCAAGATCATCCAGTAAACCATCCAAAAGACCAGCTTGCTTGACATCAGTGCTGGGCTCTGCAGCAGAAACAGACGCAGAAGCAGATGCAAGCCGCACCAAGTTCAAGTCAATAATGATGCCATTGTCACTGCCATCGCTACCACCATTGCTTGGTATTTTTCCAGGAGGCCTGTTGATATTGTCATTGTGCTCAATATTGATACCAATGTTGAGGATATCGTCCAAGTTATCAAGAAGATTACCAATGAGACCTGCTTGTTTGATATCCGTACTAAGTTTTGCAGCAGAAGCAGAAGCAGAAGCAGAGGCAGAAGCAGAGGCCGAGGCAGAGGCAGAGGCAGAAACATCACGCATTAAGTTCAAGTCAATGTTGATACCAGTATTGTCATCATTGTCATCATCATCATTGCCTAAAATGCCATTCAAAAGGTCTTGAATACCATCCAGAATGTCTTGAAGCAAGCCGTTCTTCTCGGGATTGGCTGTGGCCTTTGCTTTGGTATCAGGATCAACAGATGGCGAGTGCTTGGCTGCAACAGGTTCCTCGTCGTCATTGTCATCGTCTCTATCCCTGTTGCCAATAGAGATACCAAGGATGCCGTCCAGATCAAGAATGTTGCCAACACCATCCAAGATATCACTGACAAGACCGTCCTTGTGGATTTCCTCAGAAATGTCATCATCAGCAGGAGGGTATTGCTGAGAAAACCCCTCTTGATATTCAGTGTAGAAATAGGCTCCAGAGACTGGCTTGAGGTTGTTTTCTTGAGCAAACTGAGTGAGATTGAAAAACGCACGGCCCCTGGTGGCGCTACCATCAATTTCAGGAACAAACGTTTGATTGGCAGCCTGCTGCTCGTACAAGATGAAAGCAATACGGTGGTCCTTGGATCCAGAGGGTGGGGTAGGGCCTTTGTAGGATGTGTATTGACGCTTGGGTAGCTGACTCAAGAAAGCGGTGCCTTTTTCATCGCCCCCTTTGACGTTGGTGGCGATCCAATGGCGTACCAAGGGACCATTGGAATCCAAGTTGACCTTCAATATTTTTTATTGTTGGTGAATGTTTGAAGGTGAATTTTTGCTTTCATTTTACTCACCATAGCGAGGGTATATTCAGCGTCCTTCTTGGGTGGATCAAACCAGACGGAGGGAGCCACCAGCGTTTCCTCAGGCTTCAAGCGTTCACCGTTTTCCAGGTCATTATGCTCATCATATGTGATTTTTAGACTTGTCAGTGGTTCAAATTCCTCAAGCGCCTCAGGGATGATTTTTGCCTTGACTAGTTCCTCCTTGATCTTGTCTGCAGTTGGCTTATCAAGAGCAGTGACTCCCACAAGCATGGCAGTTGCCATCACCATGAATGTAGTAAGATTGACCATAATTGAAAGTGTGTGTATGTGGAATCCAACAGGAGGGAAGCTTTTTTTTTTTTAGGCGCTTGTATTTATACTGAATTGAGAAACAAGAAATGTTGGCTTTAACAAACAACAACAACAACAACAACAACAACAACAACATTTCTTCTGCAACTTTCCAGAAAAGAATTTTTTGTGTTTACGATGATTTTCACTGATTAGATGTGTGTGTGCTGTATGTGCTGAATATATATATATATATATATATATATATAAACATGATTTATTGAGTGATAACTTCTACAATGTCTTCATCCTCTAAATCGGTTTCCTCAATTGTTTGACTCAGATCCATGATCTCACCCTCAAATGACAGCTGCACATTTTCGCTGATTCCTGCTCTTTCTCGGAAAGCATTCACTAGCTCTCGTAATGTAGTTGTCTATAAATATATATCCCTTGTCAGTACGCAATCTTTCTCTCTCTCCATCATACAAGCTTATGCCAACAACTTACAGCCTTGACACGGAATGGCATTTTCTTGTTGTCACCAGTTCTCAAGCTAAGTCGCACTCGCTCCTCCTCAGGCTCATCATTAGCAGGTGTCTCAGAAAAGCTGGCTGCATTTGCAATGGAATCCTTCTCGCTGTACATGTCATCCTCGTTCTCAATTCCGTTCAGGTGTCTCATTCGTTCCTTCTGTCGCTGCTCTTCCTTATCTGCCATCATTTTGTCGTAACATCCCTTGGGATAAATCTCTGTATAGTTAAATGAGAAATTTTGTTTGTTTGCTGTATATAGACTACATTACCCATTTTGTGTGTTCCCATTGAAGTCATGCCTACACTTGCAGGAGTGCCACTCAGGAATACAATATCATCATTGTAGGTCAAATACACATCATCTACATTCAAGTATTTCTTGGTCGCACAAAAGCTTGTCAAAAGAACGCGGAATTGAGTATTCTACTCTCGGCAGTTAGTCATCTTCAAAGCGCTGCTTTTGTTGCAATGAAACACCTACATCCATTACTTTGAACTTGATTGGCTTCTCAAAGAACTTGATCCCTTTCACGGTGCTCTCAGCGAGGTTACTGAGATCATAGTTGTGTGTGTACTGAATCTTGATGACAATCTTTTCAGGCTGTGTGGATGATCCAGGAACAATAGAGTGAGCTAATGCAGCAAGATCAGGGTCTAAATCATCAACGCCAACGTCGTCGCCGTCTTGATCTTCGTCTGATAAATCGCTATTCAAAATACAATCAGTGTCCATAGTCTACTGTGAGCCAGCAAATGCAAGCTTTCTTACATGACATTGACTGAAGATTGTGTGTTTTGTGTTGACTGTTGAGAGGCAGGAGTCGTGGGTTTAGGTTGTGGCGTAAATGAAATATTATCTAGATCAATAACTGATGCTAAATATGGGTTTACATTGCTTTGTGTTGTAGTGGAAGGGGATGGCGAGCGAGAGGCGGTTCTGGATGATGGTCTTTTTGTAGTCTCTTGTTCGTCTTCTGATATCGGTTCGGGTGATTTCTTCTTCTTTTTCTTGGGATGTTTCTCTTTGGCAGCCTTGGTGGGTATACTATCTTCGTCGTCTGATTCTGCTAGACCAAAAGCCTTGCCTATGTAATTCACATGATTAGGTAATTAACCTTTGAGTATGCTTCTTTATTTACGTCTTTTTAATGATTCCAAGAAAGATGGGCCAGTTTGTGTCTTTGCAATGTCGAAATCACTCATGTCGTTTTGTATAGATTGGAGGTAGTTGATAGAGAGACAGAGAGACAGACTTGAGACAAATTTTTGTTTAAATTCGCTGTTGTGGTTCTCTGCAAGGTTTCATTACAGACACCTCCAGTGGTCACATCTCAACAGCACACAATAGAAAGGCAGCAGCATTGTTACATGATGAAACTCTCGCCTTTTCCACTTGTTGTATACTATGAGCTCAGCATTCTACTCGTTTATAAGCTCAATTACGAATACGCTCACATCAAAATATGATATCAAACACCAAATATCGTCTGCTGGATTGTGGAAGATTTACCAAGGAGAGCGAAAGACAACTGGAAAGAAAGTAGCACTATTTGTATGTAGCCATTAACTCTGCAACCAACTCAAGCACTAATATCGAATGCTGTTTAAGATATTCGAGAAGAAACTACTAGATACACTATTCAGACGAGACCGCGGCTCTTCGAGACATGATACAGACGTAGTGTACGAACTGCTCAAGAAGGAAGCCAGCAATCTAGCGAGGCTGAGACACCCATCGATTCTGGAGGTAGTAGAGCCTGTGAGCGAGTCGCGCAGCTCCATTGTCTTTGTTACTGAGCCTCTGATGGGCTCCCTGACACACCTTGTCAAGAGCGATGACAATTACTCGTCTGATAATCAAGCGCCAAGCCTTGATCTGGATGAATTGGAGGTAAACATTCGGGGAATGTGTTGCTTGCTGGATTCTGTACTCAATCCTCCAGCATAGATACAAAAAGGCTTGCTTCAGGTGGGCAAAGGGCTCCAATTTTTGAACGATGCCAAAGTGGTGCATCACAACCTCACAATAGATGCTATTTTTGTCAATGCCAAGGTGAGTTGTTGCCCAGATTTTGCACGAGATTGTGTAAGCTAAATTCTTTGAGCGACTGTAGGGCGATTGGAAAATAGGCGGGTAATGTTATCCCTATCGTTGCAGAATATACGAGACATCTTACTTTGCATTTTTGGACTATTGTAGACTAGGTTTCAGTGTATTTTTGAATGCAGGAAATGCCAGTGAAAATATGGGATATGACAACAATGAGTTTATGCCAGAAGCATGTCAAATTAGTTTGGATTATGCAGGTAAACCAGAAGAAGAAGAACAAAATGGAACGGAATGTTAATATATACGTCGAAATAAGCTCCTGAGTCTGTCTTGGACAACAACATATGTCAAGCAAATGACATGTTCTCATTAGGTTGTCTGGCTTACGCTGTGCATAATAAGGGCGTCTCCATATTAAAGACCTTCAACAGCTTCCACACCTATGAACGACAGATCAAAACAATCCATGCTCAGACACTTTCCACTCTTCCTGCCCACCTCCAGGATGTCATCCGATCATTGCTCACTCGACACCCAAATCAGAGAATGGATCCAGTCAGCTTTCAGAACTCGAAATACTTTGATAACCTCTTGGTGTCCACAATGAAGTTCCTGGAGAACTTTCCCGAGAAGACAAGAGAAGAGAAGGCTCAGTTCATGAAGGGTTTGGCACGCGTGCTGGGTCAATTTCCAGACCGTGTGTTGAAGAGAAAAGTAAGTGAGCTTTATGCCGACTAAGCGTTTGCTAACTTGCGGGGAACCTAGATTCTGCCCTCGTTGCTCGAGGAACTGAAGGATAATCAGCTACTGCCATATACCATTCCCAACATTTTCATCATCACGCAAAAGTTATCACAGCAAGAATTTTGTGATCTCGTGCTTCCATCATTGAAACCCGTCTTCAATGTGCGTGATCCGCCTCAGAACATGATTGTCCTGCTTGAAAAATTAGATGTATTTCAACAAAAGACGCCTAGAGAAGTCTTTCGTGATGGTAATTTGTAGAGCCAGTCCCATTTGCTAGGCATTTAACCATCTTCTGGTAGATGTTATGCCGCTTGTGTATGCTGCGTTGGAAGCACCAGCGGCCGTTGTTCAAGAAAAAGCTTTGCGGATCATCCCATCGTTGGCAGAATCATTGGATTACACAGCTGTCAAGAGCTCTTTATTTCCTCGTGTCCAAACGGTGTTTGTGCAAACTACTATTTTGTCGGTCAAAGTGAGTACGTTGATCTGTTTCCATTCTATGATCAAGGTGTTGGACAAGTTTACAGTGCAAGAGAAGCTGGTGCCGCTTTTGAAGAACATCAAGACAAAGGAACCTGCTGTGATGGTATGTAACTAATAGAAGCTGTTTGCTGTGCTTTATGTGTTGATACGTTAACGTGAAACTCTACAGTTGGCTACCCTTGCAGTATACGATGAAGTGGGTAAACTGGCAGACAAAGAGATCATTGCAACTGAAATTCTGCCCCAATTATGGAGAATGAGTTTTGGACCTTTGTTGAATTTGGAGCAATTTCAAAAATTTATGAAGACCATCCGCGATCTTACAAACAGGGTAGAGGAAGCACATACAAGACACTTGCGAGAAGTGAAATCATTGGAAGAGCAAACAAGAAGCGTCAATGCATCGTCTTCTGCGTCGTCCCCACAACTAATGAACCAGGTAGCCATTGGTACTGAAAATAATGTCTCATTTGAGAGTTTGGTACAAAGTGGTGGTAGTAGTGGAGGTGTAGCTGCTGTCAACAGCGCTTTAGATAACGACATGTTTGGCGCTCTTGTAGGCAAGAGCACTGCTAGTGCTCATGGCACGATTCCTCAGCAAAAACCTATCACTGCAAATCAAACTTCTTCCTCTTGGACTTTGTCTAGTCAGCCTGCTATTCTACCATCACCCATACAGCAATCACGCCAAGCACAGCCTACCAACAACGGTTGGTCAAGCACATCTACCATGCAACCTATGAATACCTGGAGCAAACCACTGGCACCTGCTACAACTGCACCTATCACACCGTCTAATACTACAACTTCATCATCATCTATTAACTGGAACACAAAGCCTCAACAGCAACAGAACAATTGGTCGTCGTCTCCCAAACCAATGTCATCACCTCAACAGCAGCAACAACAGCAAATTCCATCACTCGCATCGCCTCCTTCTTTTGCTATGAACCAAATGTCTCTCAATAGCTCTATGAATCATAATAATGGCAATGCAAATTACAATGCGCTGAGATCGATACCTACAAGTAATACACAACCACAACAACCACCAATGATGCCATTGTCAACTAGTATGGGGTTGTTGAAGCCTGTATCATCACCGTCGATGACTCCAATGAAAAGCAATACACCTCATGTTACAAAAACAAACTTGCATGCTTTTGATCCTCTTGGTTAAAGCTACCACTGCTGATAAAATAAAAAGTGAACTGTTGCCATATCATCTAATTCAAAATTGATTATGTGTATGACGTAAATTAGCAGACGATTTACATGGTAATAGGTCAGCCAAATATATACTAGTAAAATGCATATATAATAACCATAGCTCAGGTAATCTTAATTGATAATAATATATATATATCAAAACTTTGTCTTTAAACCTCCACTGTCACTAAGAGTCCTCTATAAACGGTCTGTAGTTATGAATCTGCCTCTCTGTGGATGCTCCGCGTCTGTATAATTGTATAACAACTCATGTGCAGGCAAGTAATATATCTGCACTACCTCTTATTACTCAGGACTATGCAAAACGCAGCGAAACCTGGGTACGTTTGAGCAATGTTTTCTCCCGTTAAAGACTGTTTTAGACCGCCAGAATAGCACCAAGCAATTTCTCTGTCCTGGCAGTTACTTGTTGACACTTTTACTTAACTTTTTCGAGATCGCCAAAACTTCACCAAAAAGCAGACCATGAAGGGTACCTCATGATTTTTATTAAAAATCAAACGATCGCATTTTTCACCTTGATAACGAAGACTTTTACTATGGTATATCTTGAATCAAAATGTTTCTCTCAATTCAGGGCAGCCCCTGAAACCATGTTTGTGGGACCTTCATATGTAAAATCTCGACATTTTCGCCAAAAACGTTATTTCATAATCTCATGAATTGCTCAACAAGTTCACTAAAAACAGCCATTATAACTAGCATCATTGGATGCGCCTTGAAAAGTTCTCCTAGATAGCTTAAGGCTGTAAAGGATGATCACTACAACTTTCATAGCCGAATCTCGTAAAATAAATCGATCGAGTCGCAAAAGGGTCAAAAATCAACGAATTGTGATAGAATGTCGATCGAGATTTTAATTCCTTCTGGCTGGCAAAAAAAGACACTCCTTGATTGCTCAAAGCCCTATAATATAACGGCAATGATACTCACAGGAAAGATTACGAGAAAGTGAGACTCCTTCCCAAATGGACAGCGTACCCAACGTGAGACTCAAAAAGAACAAGCTGGTGACATAGGAGGAGCGTGACATGATCCAAAGCAACAGAATAGCACACAGACAAAAATGATATTGCAGGTGAAGTTTAATTCAGAAACCTCTTTCTTTTGGAAATCCCACGGCCTTGTTTGATGAATTTCGCGATGTGTACTTTACTTAGAACCCTGAAAATAGTACCATTGGATTCCTCAAGCGATTTGCTTTCTAATGATGTACATACTTTCTAATAAAATATCCTCTCTTTGACCACAAATTGGCCATTTACTTGCTTATCTCTCTTCAATTCATGTCCTTTTGTTTACTTTACATGTGATTTTTTTTTAAAGCTTAATTTTGCCTAGCAAATGAATTATTTTGATCTTGCATGATCCGAATACCTTCTAAAAGAGGACGATCCCTAAAAAAAAAATGATATGAAAAATGTGTTGACTCTTTATGAGATGCATGCTCTTGGCATAAGAACTAAAAACAGGTTGCAGGAATGATACACGAGAATGACCAACTCACTATGTAAATGTGGGCATATTGATGATATCTAGTAGCGCAAACACTTGATTGACATCATTGACAGCAACCATGATAGCTGGAAACAAGATGACTTGCACTGGTTCGAAAACAATCCAATATGTTCCATTCCATGGAGATTGCCGCAGTAATATTCATATGGCACGCTTGTTTTCCAAGGTGTACGCTTGTCTCTTGGTCCAGAATCAGTTATGCTGGCTCCGATGTGATGTAAACGACAAGTAAGCCAACCTTAACACTCGTATTGCCCGATTAGATGGACAGTTTATGGCTGATGTAAACAACAAGAGAGATGGATCGAGAACCGTATGATCTTGGAGAGAGAAATTAAGGAGAGGTAAAAAAAAAAAAGATTACTTAATCAAGCAACCAGCTGCATTTGTTTCAGTGTCAAATGACATTTTTTGTTTACTTTTTGATGAGGTTGAACCAGTGAAAAGTTGTCTGTTAATTACATCTAGGAAGAGATGGGGGAACTCGTTTCATGTGAAGGTGGAAAAAGGGCTTTTTGAAATAGCAAAATGGACATAACTCGAGACAGAAAACAGTTGAAAGCCTCGGACGAAGCGGATCAAATAGAGCAAGTGTCAAACGTCAAAATGGTACTATTTTCACGCGCTCAAAGTAGTATATCGTGGAGAAAAGTAAAAGGAAACGAATTTGAGTGTGGCAAGGACACTGGACTCACATGAAAGTCGATGAGAAGGATATAAATAGGGATTTGTTTCAACAGCTTTTCCCTCTTCTTCTTCATCTCATCTCTCTACAACAAGCAAAATACTCTATACATACAAACTCTCTACAAGACATTTGGGCTCTCTCTCTCTCTCTCTACATATGGTCAAGTAAATCAAATACTCTACTGTCTATTGGCCTCTACTACTGCTACATACAATGCCTTACAAATCCATGGTCCTCTCTACGTCTCTTGGTCCATGCTAGAAAAAGGCCACACTATCTTTGATACATGCAGACCTTGGTGAACTGTGCGAGTGAGTTATTATCTTGTTGGACGTATGAGCCATGTTGACTAACCTATTGATTATATAGTGCCGAAAAACTACTTTTTTGTAGGGACTGAGTAGGATCACCGCTTCATAATCATGGGTAGACTGCAGGACAAATCCATTGGTCATGCTACGGGATGATCACAAGCTTTATTGCCGACGAGAGTAGGGTTTAACCCTATGATCCGGAGATGGAGGCGGCTTGAGCGTGTCGATGATCTTGTGATAGGTGAAGCAAGTTTACACCTTGGTACCTGTTTATATAGTGTTGGTTCCTTTTATTGATGATCAATTTTCTTTGCCCAAATGGTTTGTTACGCACTCATGCCACAGTACTTGTGTACTCATCTCATCTTTATCTAGTTACCTCTACCATCTCATGTTCTATCTCATCTAAAGCAAGCTGTCCTCTCCAAATGCTATCAAGCCAAGTTCTCTGTGCCTCCTACAAGCTCCTAAAATGACAAGACTGTTCAAATATACCATCTCTACATCTATACAAGGTCAAGCCCTACTCTCATCTGTGCTTCCTCTTACTCAATCAATTATCAAGACAATTAATGCCTGACATCTATACAAGGCCAAGTCGTTCTTATATCTCTGCTACCTCTATCTATACAAGTCAAAATAGCCTCAAAAATCTGAAATATTTTAATCCATCAAGTATGGTGATCTCATAAACTCAAATACACATTAATAAAAAAAAACAACCACGTCTTGTCATTAGCTTCAATATTATGTTCTATTAAGATTACATCTTCTTTCAATGCTTGTACTGTCCATCAATTGCTGTGACCAATGTATTTTAAAGCTTGTACATAAGTTAGTCATATTCATACAATTCAACGTCAAGAGATTTTGCCGGTATGTAATATCATAACATGATAAATTTATGGTCCCTAGACACTTTCAAAGCCTCAAAAAGGAAAGAAATTGATCTAACAAGTATTTTGATAGACTGACGTTATTAAATATAGATTCAAGAAGAGCAGCACGAATAGCGATAGTGATATATGATTTGCCACCTACTTTCCATACGCTTCAAAAGCATCTATTACTGTATTACCTTCACTAGCCGATCCATCTCGCTACGCTCGATGACGGCGTCGCCCTGCGGGCTCTCACCAAAGACATTTCAAATCAGAAGAGATAGTAAAACTCTGCTATAAAAGTACATTTTAAACAATGACTATATTAGGCATGAAGCTTGATATAAACGTCAAAACTTTGGAGGTACAAATCAATATTTTTTATGAAGCATCTACGTTATATTATTATAAGACTTCTGGTTTACTACATCCCCCGTCCGAGTCATATTTTCTAGCGGCAGAACTGTGATACCATTCGCGGGTGCTGCTCTTGAGATGGCGACACAAAGCTGGCCAAGCATAAACACAGGACTTTTATGAGATCTACAGCGATTTTTTTGAGAGATTATCATTGCGAAAGACACCTATATACGGAAAAACTCGCAAAAAAACCAAATAAAAAAGGATTCAAGCTAATTGATTGTTCTTTTAAATTCATAATCCCTAATTAATCAGCATCACAATCATCATTGCCATCAACAGAAAGGCATTTTGGTCAGCCAGCAGCAATGCCGCCGTCAAAATCAATTCAAGCTCAATAATTTTTTTCTGTTCAAGATTGGACAGGTTTTGTCTTTTTACGACTTCTTTAATCTGTTTTGTGATATTCGACTATATAAACTGTGATGATCACCCTACGCTCCCTAATACAACAATCTGCCCTGCCTCTCCCACGGAGGATATCACACATGCTCTGTTCTCCTGTCCTCCCAAGTTGCTGGTCTGGCGATACATGTATCACACCTATCTTTCTGCTTCTCCATCAATCTCTGATGTTGATCTGATTCATTTCTTACAACAAACTTTACTCTGTTCTTCCCCTCTTCTTGATCGTGATCCCTCTCTCTCGTTCAATGAACTCTCTATTCCTCAACTATTCGCAACTACTCTTTTGACAATTTGGCAAGCGCATTGGCGCTGGATCTTCGACCGAACCCCGTTCATCGCTGACACCGTTCAACTTCGCCTTGCTCGCTCTCTTGCTCGTTTGGATGCCGAGTTAAATCTTGATTCGTAAGTATTCAGTTTTACCTTTTCGTTCATTCTTCTGTCACCTTTTTTTTTCCAACCCATTTTCCATCCGATCCTTTGTCTCTATATCCAGTCTTTTCTACCCCTCAGCACGACATTTAAAGGACTTTAAATAAAAACTGGAGCTCGTCTCCCCTACAAAAAAACGCTCCCTAATACACTCTTGGAGTACTTTTCAAGGCGTTTCCAATGATGCCAAGTAAAATAGATGTTTTGACTGAATTTAATGAGCAATTCCAAAAGATCTGAAATAAGGTTTTTGGCCCAAATGTCGAAATTTTGCATATAAAGACCTCATAAAAATGGTCTCAGAAGTTGCTTTGGGTTGAAATAAACATTTTGACTTAATATATACCATAGTAAAAGTCTTCATTTTCAAGGTGAAAAATGCGATCGTTTGATTTTCGATGAAAATCATGAGGGGTACCTCATGCTTTTTGGTCGACTTTTGTCCATGTTTTTTTGGTCCCCAAAAAGTTGAGCAAAGGTGTCAGAAAGTAACTCCTACATGAAAGCATTTGTTTGTTGCTATTCTGACCATCTAAAACGGCCTTGAACGCGAGAAAATGCGACTCAAATGCACTCATATTTTGCTGTATCATGGATACTAAAGACTAGAAAAGGGAAATACCGGTATGCTGCTTGCTCGTATATGAAGTAGTTACGTGTATATGGATGTAGAGTATTATATAAGAATTAGATCTACAGATAATATGAAGGGTTTTCATGTGTAAGTAGAGGGTCAACATGAAAGTAGCAGTGTTTTGGTAAGATACGCAAGGGCAATCGGTAGCGTGAACTGCCGCTGTATAGGTTGGTTCTCACCGAATCGAAGGTAAAGAACCATCCGAAGCATAAACTCTCATATGATCAGTTACTTTATATCAATCAACAATCAAGGCTCTCTAATATTTCAGCTATACAGTATTAATTTTGCAATATTAACCAAAGGCCCGCGGCAGCTCCAGCCGTCTGAACGTAGATTGGTTTCCACCAAAGCCAAGTGTAGGTCAGGAAACCACCTGAAGTGTCGAAAGGCTCGTATTCATAATATAATGTTTCTCGAACTGAGGCTTCAAGTGGTATACAGCGTAAAAATAATATGAAATAAGAACAGTAACAAGATGGAAGGAAAGAAGTGAATATAGGGTCGACGAACTTCCAAACGTTAATGTTCGACAACATCTGAAGCTACGAAGACCAAGGAAATGCTTGAAGCAATCAAAAGAGCTACTACTACAAGATGGTTCTTTTTTTATTATTTGATAATACTTGCTTTTACAATGTATACCATCGACAACAATGAGCGAAAATAATCTAGATGTTCTGAGTAATAGCTTTCAACAAATCGCCTCCCTTTGAATCTTGGTCAACAGACCAGACCATGACACCAGCGAGGCCTTTGCTTGAAGCGGATTTAACTTTGGCAGCGATAGACAAAGGGTCATCATACGAAATAAAGATTTTTGTAGAGGGATTAAACAACCAAGGTGTGGACGAACCCTTATCCCAGGTTCTGACCCAAGGCGCTTTAGCAGTAGTAGGAGTATCAAGCACACCTTGAGACATCAAATTACCAAACTTCCAGATACCAGATAGACTTGAAGGAGATTTAGCACAGTTTGGGTCTTGCCATTCAGCGTCATCAGAATCACCCTTAGGAGGGTCTCCTGATTCTTGACCTTGATAGAGCGAGCTTGATTTTGTCATGTCCTCACTAGCAACAGTGGATCGGCCATAGAAGGGTAAGCCGCCAGTCAATTTATTAGCTGGCACACCTGCAGAAATCCAGGCATCGATAGCAGAGTTAAAGCTAGTATTACCACCAGGAGCGTCCAACGGCGAGTTGGGACCAGTTTGGCTGTTCCAGGCACCATTGATGTCGTAGGACATGATATTGACGCGATCGAGTACCTTACCAATGGCCGTTGTCACGTCATTAGAGACAGTACCACTCCCTGTCGTGAAAGCTTCAGAATAACCTGCAATGGAGATCTCCTTGTGTGTATCAAATGCGCTGTCTAATGCAGCACGTAATTCCTGAAGCAATGTAAGCAGATTGGGGACATCATTTTGATCATCCACATCATTACAGCCGGCACCTTGACGTCCAGGATACTCCCAGTCAATATCTACGCCGTCTGTCTTATACTTGGTGATTTGCTCTACATTCCAGTCGATGAATTCCTTTCTTGATGAAGAAGTCGAGGCCATACGACTAATTTGTCATACGGTTAGCAACATGTTGACATCAAATTGATGTTTAGATGGTACCTAAAGGTTTTGCTTCCAGACCAGCCACCAATCGAAATAAGGACTTTTGAGTTGGCACCATGAGCACCTTCAACCAATTGATTCAACTGGGTATCAATAGCAGTGGGGTCAGTCCATTCAGGCACGTTTCCAGAAACCATGATGGCAAATGCGTAATGTATGTGGGTATAGGATGAGAAATCAATACTTGAGACAGGAAGCTTTTCGCCTAGCCCTGTACGCAACGATATAAGAGATGTTGTCTATCTTTTTCATATTAGAATGTTGTGTACTCACAATTTGGAAAATAACCAACAACGACTTTGTCAGCCATTGTCAATGTCGTCAAAAGGGTAAATGTCAGGGCTGTAGGCAATACTTTAAATATCATATTTTGAGGTATATAAGTTTGATAAGAGAAAGCGAGAACGCCTTTCAGCAGAGCATATTTATACTTTTACAGGCGTCCATTATTTGATCTGAATTGTCGTCGAGCAACAGCAAAAGGTAATTAACTCGCCATCTCATCATATGACAAAGATGATCTGTCTCTTTGTTTTTGTTTACAACACACTGTATACAGGGAATCAATTTGTAAGACACGGTCATATATTGCCAAATCGTTCCCATATAATGTGATTTCGTACTAATGTTTATAAAGTATCAAGTATCAATCAAGGAATGTGATGGCAATTTACGAAATCAGTCTAAATGATGTGATTGAAGTGTGAGATCTACATGTAAATGGCCTGGGAGCTTTGTTTAATGTGGTACAATGGTAATTTGACATCAATATTATTGATCTCTCTCATAAAAGAAAGCTAATTGTTTGGCTCATTACATTACATTGCATCATGAATAATAAGCAGTTCATACTCTTTCATCTTCTGATTCAGGAACCATTTTTTATATTGTCATGACAACTAAAATGAAAGGTTCATTGAACAAACTGACAATTCAGGTACCGTCAACAATTGATCTCAAGCAATGGAGGGAATTACCCTTGATATTCTCATCCTGGTGATTTACGTAATGAGACAATGTTAATCATTTGTGTATGTTTTCTACCAATTCAACCATATAACCTGTTTACAGGTAAAAATTTTAAGAGGATCCGACCCGAACTCAGTAGAAACCCGAGTCGCATGTCTTTCACCATTTGTGATCAGCGTTTGCCTGTGGCGGGGAGATGGATGAGCGGAGGCCAAGATGGGAGGGATCTCACATATACAAAGTGGGAATCTCCAATTGTGTAAAGCTCCTTCTCTGTTCATTTTTGTCTAAAAGGTGAGATCTCAAAAACATCAATCCATCCATCAAGCAGCACAAACATCAATCAGCTATATCGATGATGCATGGATGATTGTAAATTACTCGAAGTGGAATGCTGGAGACGATAGATGGATTGATCATTTTTTTCTGGGGATTACATGTGCTTACTGTCAATCTGTCATTGTAGAATCGCTTACCATGCAGATTTTCGTCAAGACCCTTACTGGCAAGACTATCACCTTGGAGGTCGAGAGGTACAGTCTTAGCGAAATAGTCATTCCAGCATGTCTCATTGTTTACACATGGACCTATGCTGGTGTTTGATACCACATTGAACGAACATACCATTAACATGATCCCTCTTCTATCCATAGCTCCGACACCATTGATAATGTCAAGCAAAAGATCCAAGACAAGGAAGGTAAAGTATTTAGCTACAGAGCGACGTAGACGTGGATGAGGGACATTGAGGATTAAGCGACCCAATCAAATAGGTATTCCCCCAGACCAACAACGTCTTATCTTTGCTGGTAAGCAACTCGAAGATGGTCGTTCCTTGAGCGATTACAACATCCAAAAGGAATCCACTCTCCACTTGGTCCTCCGTCTTCGTGGTGGTATCATTGAGCCCTCTCTTAAGGCTTTGGCTTCCAAGTACAACTGCGATAAAATGATCTGTCGCAAGTGTTATGCTCGTCTCCCTCCTCGTGCTACCAACTGTCGTAAGAAGAAGTGTGGCCGTACCAACCAACTCCGTCCCAAGAAGAAGCTTAAATAAACTATTCGCTTACGTTTATTATGCTATTTCATTCTATATTTCTTTGAAATAATAAAAAGAAAAAGTTATAATTGTGTGGTTCTGTCAAAAAGCACATATTTTCACATAAAGCTGTGCCTAACGGGGTGTATTATACAAGTGATAGAGAGACAAAGTATGTACTTGTAGATCAACAAGTGTCTATTACGCTATAGCAAAACTTGATGACATTGGGGATGGATATGATAGCAGTAGATTTATTATTGTTCAGCTTCTCAATGAACCGTGCCAAAACTTCGGATACTACCCGCTGTGGGTGATTGTGGACTTCTCTTGACACCTCTTTGAGTTTTCATGCGATTCACGAATGCATTACCACCAGCTGCTTGTTCTCTGCACAACGGACAGGCCATGTTCTGTGTGGATTTCAACAATGCCGATTGATTGACTTTGCTAGTTAAGCTACCAGGATTACTGTCTTGCTGAAGTTGCTCCACCGAACTTTGGTTGATCAGGCATTGCTGATGATAGGCATGTCGACAAAAGAAGATGATTGAGTTGGGTATATCCTCCACATTGGCTTCATCAAAAACAGGCTCTTCACAGATATTACAAACCATATCTTCAGCTACATATGGGTACATCTTGATTAGAATATGCACAAAACGTCAATTTCAAAACTTACGATTGCAATTAACACCACGTTTTTGAGCTTTGTACATCTTATCAGCTAAAAATACACTATCGCTCACCAAAATTTTCTCGCAGCCCTCATGCAAGGACATTTGCAGGTTGTAGTCTTGCAAAATTTTCAGCAAGGCATCTTTCAGGCCAGGGATTTCGAGATGATCTGGGATGCGCTTGATGAGTCGCAGTGGTTCGATATCCGTGCCAACATTTTCCAACAGGCCACGAATAAAGTCTGCGTATGTTCATATGAGTAAGACGTTGATAAGATGCATGCAGTTATTTGGCTTACTGGGCTTATCCATGGAATAGGTCAACAAGTCCTCCCAAAGATCATCATCTTTCTGCTCTTTGGCAAAATCAATAGCCTAATGCAAGACACCAAACAAATAAACAAGACGATTCTTCTGTATATTGCATAGCAACCAACTTACCCTTTGTACATCTTCTAGCCTTTCAATGATCAGCATGAGTGCCTTTTTGTTATTTCCCATGCGTCCAAGAATGAAGACCATTTCAGGCACCAAATCTCTCTGCTCACAAATCTTGTAGGCCTTTTCCAGTGATATGTAATGGCTTGCACGTAGGAATTCCAGCAATTTAGGATAGTCAAACTCTGCATACAGCTCCACTTGAAGATCATGGAACTCGTAGCCAAGCTGATGATCGCGGTCGAACAGTGCATCCAAATAGATGTGCAGAAATTGACGATATCGGCGAAGTTGCTTAACTACCTTTTCCGGCTGGAATGGTGCTATGATGAGTTACCTGCTCTCCCCTCCTGGCAAACAAACAAACTTACTGGAATAGCATCTGTATTCTTCACCAATAGCTGGACAGCTGGCATCTTAGTAGGCTTGCTATTTGTCTCTCCCTCCTTCTCCAGGAGATGTTGGTCAAACTCCATCAGTAAAACCGCCTTATCCTTTACAGCATCAAACATGTTGTATTCTTGAATGAGCTCAAACGCATTGGGTCTTCGCAGACGAAGGTTGTACTCAATCGCTTTGTCTGGTTGATTGTTATAGGTATATCTAGCATAAAGGTGGGTTTGTACGTGTGTGTGAATCATGCATAATAGACCCTTACAAATCAGCAAGGCACTCCAGCAGCACTTCGTCTTGCTTATTTTTCTTCATCGCATCCTCCACTGCGACAATCACATTGGATATATTGTAGTGTGTTCTGGGCCATTTGCGAATAGTGTTCCTCAATGCAACATGATCGCTTTTTAGGAACCAGGCCAACGCAATTTCGTATACAGTGCTGCTGAGCTGTGGGTCTTTGACGGGTATATAGGGCGTAATGGCTTTGAGTTCGCCTACTTCGGTAAACTTGAATACCCAATCCTCCCATAGTAACTGGTCATGCTTGAGAATATCGCTGCACTCTTTGGCCGCTTCATCAAATCTCTTTTCTGCCATCAGCCAGTTGAGATATGTCTGTCCAATCTGATCTGCATTGAACTTTTTGCTGGTTGTAGTCGCTCTTACTGCTTGCAGTGCCTCACCAAATCTCTCGTGTTCCAGCAACCACTCAATGTGATCATCTTGATCACGGGAACGAGCAGCAATTAGATCCTTGGGCCCCATAACGTAAAACATGTCTTCTTCCATTAAGAAATCAAGCACATAATCGTTGGCTTGGTAGTGCTCAAAGCCATGGAGCGCAAGCACATCAGCCGAAATCTCTTCATTGTCTGCGTTGATGATGTGCAGTTCAGGCTTGGAGGCAAGTCTTTTGCGTTGAAATGATGAGTTGTCAGCGTCCTTTTCCTCCTCCTCTTCCTCTAAAAGATAGGACAAGAGCATCAACGTGTCATTGAAGGGTGCAATACCACTGATAATGTAGTCTGTCTGAAACATGGTGGTGATTTCGACATAGTGAGCTGGCTGTCCCTGTGCTGGATTGATTCGAGGTTTGATAACAGCTACTTTGACCGTGTCTGCCCATCCAATAAGCAAGGTAGTGTCATTCTTCCAGCACATTCTGCATTTGTAGAGATCTGCTCGAGGACTTCCATCAGGTCGATCAATGTAGGTGATGCGCACATTCGTGGTTGTGTCGTATATCTTGACACCAGTGTCATTAGCCCAGGCAATAAAGTTGTTTCTCCAGCGAATAGCATAGATGGGTCCTTCATTGGCATGAAGAATGATGTCCTTATGGCCTAGCCATCCCTTCTCGCTCATGATGAGCTGCTCTGCCATGCCACCGGATACAAACTGACGGGTTGATTTTCGAGCATAATCTGGGTCCAAGGCAACTGATTTCACAGGTCGTTTGTAGTTGAATGATTGGATTTCGGGTGTGTAAAGCGCATAAATGAAAACCTTGCCTATACAGAGGGTGTAAGGGAGCGTATAGAGTAGACGAGATTATCAAGTGTCGATTACCATCATCAGAAGCACTAGCTACAAATTCATCCGATCTGTCGATAGAGATATCATTGACAGTGGCAGAATGGTTCTTGAAACTCTTAATCACATTTCCCTCAAAATCAAGGATATGAACAGCGCCCCAGTGAGTGCCTAGAGCCTATGTGTTTTGGGTGAATAGGATACAACAACCGCGGGTTGCATATACTCACCACAAATCGGTCAGACACACGTAACGTAGATGCCGTGTCTTTGTCCAGCAGCTCCTTGACACTAGCACCCACTCTGCGATATCTCAGCTTGGGCTCATCCAGGCTATCGTCGTCCTCGTCTGTCTCTTCCTCTTCGCTATCCTCGCCGTATTCTTCATCTTCACCGTACTCCTCTTGATCAGAATCATATGGCTTATCGTCGTCTGACAACACCGTCTCTAGTTTCTTGGAATCAACAGACATTTATACTGCAAAAAAAAAAGAGAAAATCAAGGAGTAATTGAAACGCTGTGTATCTAATTTGCATTGCACACTCAATAGTGCTACATTCAACATCTGCCCGTACGTCACGACGGACTGCCATTTAGCTTGTATGGAAAATATTTTTCGAAATGGCAACCATAACACTTTGTTTCATTACTATAATTCAACATGTCAATGCGTCTTCCCTCTGCCGACGAGCTTGAACAACTCGAGGATATTGGTAAGAGCCACAGTGGCATTTTTAACTTGGTTGAAATACAAAAAGATTGACATTGAATTTTTGCATTGGATGTACAGAAAAGCAATGGGCTGTCAAGGTAGAAAGAAAACGTGAGCATTGCAATATGAGCCAGAGTATTAAACCCAACGTATATTTAGGCTATGCATCATGCCGAGACCTATTTCAAATTAATTTCTGCTATCGATCCTAGACAACTTCGTTTGACAAAGTAAATACACATTGCGAGACGAGAAAGAGCTGCTATTGACATATCATGTTAGCATTGACGACGAGATCCTCAAGGATTTTGAAGAGACTTTCCCCGAGATTAATGTCGAGCACTTGGATGAGAAGGATTTCAAGACTGCTGTCGCCAAGGAGAAGTGGAGAAATTTCATGAACAAGTATGAAAAGAGAGTCAACGAATACAACTTTGGATCCTTGATCCGCATCGATTGCAAAGAAGACTACACTGAGGAAAACACCATGTTTGGTGTCCGCATGCAGGTAAAACAAGTGGATCTAAAGTGTGTCGATCACAGCATAACTCATCTGTTTTGGTAGTTTTATGCTGTTGAGATTGCTAGAAACAAGAAGGGATTAAATGATGGCTTGCGTAAGAAATAGATTGATTACATTAAAATATATAACTGTACAAATAAACAAACCTTGGCATCAATTACATGAAGAGAGATAGGGGTTGATAGATAATAGCCCAAGCTGAGGGTCCTCCTTAAGTTATCGCATAGTGCATGCCTCGGGGAGGAGGAAGGGGGGGGGAGGGCACAAGGAGGGAATAACATGAAAAAGGCACATTGTCCCTTCAACGAAAGGAGACACACAAAAAAACAAAAAAGCAGAAATTAAGTGGCAAATCAATCTTGACAACATGCAAATGGTTTAGGGAGATGCTTCCGGAGGAAAGTTCCTTACATATTCATTAAATTTTTAATATAAAAAGACAGTGGCCATGTTGACCATTGCAACTCTTTACCCTTTATTTTGTTTCTCTTCAATTTCAAATCAACAATGCTTGGTAGATCTGCTTTCAAACTCTTGAACCGTCGCAATGTCATTGCATTGGGCGCTGTTGCAACCACAGGTGGTGCCTTGTTTTTAAGCTCTGACAGCAAGGTGCACGCTGAATCAAACAAGCTTAAGTTTTGGCAAAGTCTGCCTGGCGAAAACACACCAGAGAACCCAGGGTTCGCTAAATTGAGAGGCATGGCTGCTGAGCAGAGATTCAGGACTTCTTTGGCTCAAAACAACGGCAAGACTGATTTCGATGTTGTCATTGGTAAGTGTCCATGCAGATGATACATGTGTATAAAGCATAGACTAAACTTGCTGCTAGTCGGTGGTGGTATCATTGGTCTAGCTACTGCTCGAGAGTTACTGAAGCGTTTTCCAAACATGACTGTAGCTGTATTGGAAAAGGAACGTGAAGTAGCTGCTCATCAAACTGGCCATAACAGCGGTGTCATCCATGCTGGTATCTACTATAAACCTGGATCTCGTATGGCCAAAACATGTGTCAGAGGCGCTGATTTGATGTACGAGTACTGTAAACAAAATCAACTCCCTGTGGAACGTTGTGGTAAACTGATTGTGGCCGTGGATGATAAGGAACATAAACAAGTGGAGAGATTGATGGAGATCGCCACATTGAATGGAGTCAAGGATCTTCAAATCCTTAATAGCGAGGAGGTAACTAGAAGCAATTAACCCTTCCTCCTCCCCCCCCTCTAATATCATCTAATCCTCATTAACGATACTTATTTTGCCTAGATTAAAAAATTAGAGCCTAATGTAGTCGCCTACTCTGCTTTGTACTCTCCAAACACCGGTATCACTGATTTCGGCCTTGTCGCTCAATGTATTGCTAATGAGATCGTGCAAACAGGGTAAACATACTACATTTATCAAAAGATTGCACATATTTATTTGTTTGTATTTTGTAGTCGTGCTGAAATCAAGCTTGCCTTTGAGGCTCAAAAGTTTGAATCTAGACAAGACGGCCGTGTTGAAATCTGGGGTGGTGAACCCAACCAAAGAGGCCCTACTCTCAAAGTCACTGCAAAGAATGTCATCACTTGCGCTGGTTTCTACTCTGATAGAGTTGCTGGTCTTGCCGGTGGTGACGCTGGTCGTGCCAAGGTAGTTACGTTCAGAGGTACTTATTATCAGTTAAAGCCCGAGTACCGTGGCATCTGTCGCATGAATGTCTACCCTGTTCCCAGTGGCGGTGGTATTCCAGTCGGTGTTCACTTTACACCTACCGTTAACACAAGAAGAGGCATTCAGATGATTGTTGGTCCTGGTGCTTGTTTGACTTTCTCCCGTGAAGGCTATACTTTTTCTGATTTCAAGATGGAAGATATCTTTGGTTCCTTGACAAACTTGAATTTGTGGATGTTTGCACTCAAGAATCCCAGTCTCTCTCTTGGAGAGCTCTACAAGGATATGAACAAGCGTGCTTTCTTGCGCGCTGCGCAAGCGTATGTCCCTGGTTTGACTGAGGACATGGTTGAGGAGAGCTTTGCTGGTGTCATGTCTCAAGTGTTCGAAAAGGGAGGTATCGCTGCCAATGATTATATTCTTGAACGCAAGGTCATGGACGGAAAGATACTATGTGTTCGTAATGCACCTACTCCTGCATGCACTGCTTCTTTGGCCATTGCAGAAATGCTGATTGATACAGCAACTGAAGATTTTGAATGGGAACAATCAGAGAAATCTATCGAAGGTCCTAACAAGGTTCAACAGCTTTCTGCTATTGCTGCTTAGATCACTCCATGTCTCTTCTTTCTTTTGCATTCAATTTGTTTTATCAAGTATTCCATAGTTATACCTTTTTTTTTTATCTCCATCTTCTTCTTTACAGCCTATATCATTACTAATTACATTACCTTTCACAAAAAAAAATGTATATTTCGTAAACCTATTTCTTTTCATTTCAATAAAATTAAATAGTTACATATTATCGAGACCTCTAGCTTCTGAGCGTGATAGCTGATCTGGCCGTATGCATATAATAATACATCATGCGCCTTGCATTGCATCTGCTCTATTAAAATTAGCACATAGAGAATGCGCAGCTCAGCAAATGTTATAAGACACGGAATCCTAATGGTACGCTTAAAAATAGATGAGTCACTTGACTATAGATATTAGTTGTAAGCAGTATGTGAAAGCTGCTGGTGGTATTGTTATACGCTATACTAAATGTCCTCCCAAGGTCTCCTCGGCTTCTTTAGGTAAATCATACTAATCATGAATTACAAATCACTTGTTGGGTAGACGGTAAACCTATCGGTATTATAGTCCATCATGATGATGCTGTAAACCCTATCACAATGTAAAGTACATACAATACATTCTTTGGATGCATTCTTAATAAAAGCGTAACTCTTTAATGTATTCAGTATTATATTGTATTTTGAAATAACACAAACATAGTTTTTTTTAATATATAGGCTACTTTACACTTTTCTCGCTTGATTATTTCACAACCGGGATACCGACTGAAAATCCGTCCTTATGTTTAGCAACCCCTTAATGTGAGCATATAATTGTTTGGATATGAGGTATTTAGTATCAACATGAGGCGTGAAAAGGCAACCCCTCCCTCCTTTTACTGAAGTGCGCAGCACAGCTTTGAATCTTTGCTACATTATAACGAAGCAAGATATCACCAAGCGGTCTTAAATACAACGTTTTCCAACATCTAATTGATTGATCTATGGCTCATAATCACTTGTAATCAACAGCTTTTAAAAGGTTTTATACATAGGTCGTTGTTCAATATTGTCTTATTATTTAGAAATTTATCCGTTTCGTACTAACAACTCATCATTCAATCCAACACCACCCAGCTACACAATCATTTCCTCGCAAAGCTTTGCCATAAGAACATACTACTTTCAGAAGTTTAGCATCAATATTTAAAACTTGATTTTGGATGGCTAAAATCTTAAAATTGGGTACACCTCAGTACATTCAGAATTTTTAATATTAGGTGAAAGATAGTAGCCCATGAAATTATAACATGCTGGAAATATATCAATAATAAACAACGCATGTTTGGTGGGGCATTTGGTGCCGAGAAGATTTGGTACGTAATTCACTGCTGTAGTGCCTATCACTGTATATAACTTTCCCCACCACGGGGTGAATTTAAATAATATCCTTCGCATGAAACCGTTTAGTAGTGGATGCTAGATCAAATGTTTACACCTTATCATTGTTATATCAAATGTGCAAACAAGATCTCACACTACTAAAGTTTTGGGCTATTCTTTGGTCTTTTGGGTAAATCAGCTAATCGAGATTTACAAATCATTTGTTGATTGTTGGGTAGAGTATAAACCTATTTGTATTATACTTCTTCATCATCCTTGTAATGAAATAGCCACCCAAACGCAACTTAATTGAAAACCAAAGTTTATCAAATAGCACTCATCCAAATTCATGCTATTTGGATCTATTAATGAAAGCGCTCAAATGTACATCAAAAAAACCATTTAAAATTACTAAAGTAAAGATGCATGCTTATATCGCACATCGTGTGAATGAATCACTCCTGATCACAGTGTATTCAATCACACCCATGATGGTCGTAATAGGTGATGGTATCTTTATCCAAATAGAATTAAATCAATAACAAGCATATTCAAATATGACAACTATGCCCTGCTGCCATAGTTGCACAATATCCCAGATAAAGGATCCCATACTTCAATAACAAACATCACACTTTAAACCATCAAGGTTACATTAAATCATGCTATGACGATAGCTCACCCAAGCCCATCAAGGTTACTCAAATCGACCCTTATGGCCAGTGCTCTTGCATTGATTACCACTTTAAATCAAACATCAACAACATTTGCCAGATATCGCAATAGCAGCACCTATTGCTCTCTATCATCACTAATCCTACAAGCTAGATGCAAATGTATAAATACTCTTCTTTTTTTACTCAATTCCAGGATCTTCAGTTCATTTTATACACAAAATAAAATACAGTTGATTTCTATTGTATTTTACTAATGCTTTATTTTTTTTGTGAAATTTATTTAAACCTGATTTCACTGCAATCCTCATACTGTAAACTCGAGCATAACGAAAAGTATATAAATGCATCTAGGGGATGTACTCTCAATAGAGATGTATATGTAGTTCTTGGCAGACTCAATTTTACATCTTATTTTTACATAACGGTCAGAATTTTCAATAAAAAATGATTTATGCTTATTTGGATACCCTTTTATTACAATTACAAAATCATGATAATTGACAGATCAATGGGAAATCAACTAGTTATGACCCTTCGCCGTTTGGACCTCTGAGCCAATCAGATTGCTTGAAAACTCCGCTGACCTAAAAAAAAATTGCGAGGGTTTCCCTCTGTTTTATTGTGAGGCAAAATTTTAAGCTCCGCTATATAGCAATATAGCTGTTACTATCATTAAATTTCCCTCAGGTGCTAGAGCATGCCTTACTTACACCACCTAGCTTTAGATTCTGGCGTTGAGACTCTCAATCATCACTAAAGTAAGTAGTGATAACCAAGTGGAGGCGGCCTATCTACCTCCTAGCCTCGGATAAAGTCTTGTTGAGCTTCAGGGATAGGCACATCCACACAACGTAAAAAGGTATGCTTCATAGAAACATAATAGAAGAAAGGAAAAAAAAAAGAAAAGAGCATACTACTTTACCATAGAAGTATGGTAGTATGTAAGCAAAAAAGGAACACTCACACAAAAAAGTGAGTCAAAAGAAAAGTATAACAACAAATACAACATCAAAGATGTTCAGAACAGCTCGCTGTTGTTGCAACAAAAATGCATACATGAGCAACATGCATGATAATAGTCGGATGTAAAGCAACACAAATACGCACAATTGCAGGAGCAACAGCAGTATTATAAGTGTTGTGCAATACAACATAACGACTAATGTTGTTTCATGTGAAGCCACAGAGGCAACACAAACAACAATTCACGACCATATAGCAAAGTAGTATTACGACGGCAATACAGATATATAGTAGTACATCATGCTTGTTGTTTATACATAAGAAGCAACAACATTGCAAGCATCCGTTGAGCCGATCATATCACAGCCAACAAAAAAAAAAGAAAAAAAATGCAACAAAGCAAACATTACGAATGCATTATCACGAGAAAGGAAGCAAAAATATAAGCGTTCAAAGAAGTTATATATCATTGCGACCAGAAGAAAGAAGATACTTACCACTTACCACAGCCACCGATAGACCAGAGAATAGGCAATCACCAGAAATAGACCAAAGAGCAAGCATATAACAGAGATAGCAGACCAAGAAAGACCAAACTAGCAGTAGCAGCAACACCAGCAGCAACACCAGCAGCAACATCATAGAAAACCCGAAGAACGAGCGTCACCAGAGACCAGACAAAGACTAAAGAAGCAAACGCCAGAGATAGAGACCAAACAAGAAACAACCAGTCATGGTAAACTAAAGAATCAGACAGCCGAGATAGCAGAGAGGTAATGACAACAGCACCGACGTCAAACAGGCAAAAAAAAGTATCAAGACCTAATAAACAAATTCAATTAATGCTGATTTTACGTATGTCAGTGCTCGTTATCGAATGGTACCTATTGTATTCCACTTCAAAGAACTAGTATCAAGTACTTCTAACAGTACAAGCCCGTGTTATTAGAAGCTAAAGTATTATTATCATTCGAAAGGTTTCCAAAACCACCATGGTCTGATACTAAACGCGTTATGCAAAAGGAAAAAAAAAAGGATGCGGAAAAATGAGAGAGCGCCATACCCGACGTCACGGCCAGTAGATTTGGTCCCAGTTTTCTGCCACAGCAGCTGTCGCTGCGGCACTCAAATTTGGATTTGTGCAGTTGCAATTTTTGTATTCAAATTTGACTTGATTTGACATCCTTTAAACGTTTTTGCTAAATTTAACTATGAAAATTTTCGTTGTCATACCCAACTTTCTAGTACATTTATGGAGAGTCAATGAAGGCGCATCGAATGATGTTGATTACATTGAGCTTTCAGACTGAAAATAATGAGCAATTTGCGAAAGTTTCAAACCCGGTTTTCTGCGAATATGTCAAAATTTAGCATATAAAAGTCTCGTAAAAAGAGCTTCCAGAGTTGTATTCCATCCTTACAATCAATTTGGTCTGATATGTATCATAGGAAAAGTCTTCGTTTTTGGGGTGAAAAACGCGATCGTTTGATTTTCAAGTACAGTGCGCGAAAAAAACGTTCCAGTGTTTTGCCAAATTGCATTTATAGCCAGTTTTCTCTGCAAATATCAAAGCTACTGGGGTTTGCTTAGTTTCATAAATAGCCTAAGTAGTTGGCTATCAGATGATATATTATGCACTTTATTCACGTAATTAGAAAAAGAATGGTAGCCACATGAAAAGTGAAAAGTCGAATTTATTAAATTTCATAAAAAAGCTCAATATTTAGTTGGACCACCTTTACTCTTGATAACCGCTTTGATTCGGCGTGGCATGCTGCCTATGTATTTAAGACAGTCTTCTTTTGTGAATTTATACCATTCCTGTTCAATTCTGTCTTCTAGCTCAGAAAGGCTGGTGGCCCTAGTAGGGTACTTGTTCAAACGACGTTTTAGTTGATGCCAGACATGTTCAATGGGGTTTAGGTCAGGGCTTTGGGGGGGCCAATCAAGGACACTTTGCACAGAGAATCCGTGATGCGTGAACCATTTTTTAATGGGACCAGAAGTATGTGGTCTTGCGTTATCTTGCTGGAATCTAAACGTTTTCTTGTCCAGCCCATAGTACTCGATAGTGTCTAGCAAAGATGAGTCCAGAATTTCAGCATAAACTTCTGAGTTAACAGTTCCTTCGGTAATGGTGGAGCCATAGCTGGGTCCCTCCGCTGTTATCATGCCCCAGAAAACAACGCCACCACCATCTCCCTGAACTTGAGCCTCAGTTTGATGAGGCATCAACTCAGTGGGCCTGTCAGTCCAGTAGAAAGATTTGCCGTCTGATCCCCACATGTTGACCCTGGTTTCATCGGAAAATCCCCACTTACACCAATCGTCCGCAGTCAAATGTCGATGTCTCTTGGCGCACACAAGACGCTTTTTCCGGTTCTCCGCAGACACGAAATTGGTCTTTACCTTTCTTTTAGCCTTGAACCCTTTGCGCTTGAGTATATACTGTATATTCCTCAAAGTCATCTGAAGTCCCATATTATGAGCAAGGTAGCACTGCACACCCCTGGGGCCGTCTAAATTACTATTGCGGAGATTCCTCTCAATGTAGTTCATATTCTGCGTAGTGATTTTGCTGCGTCTACCGGGTTTGGCCTGTTTTGAATGACCAAGAAACTTCTTCCTGTAGCGAGAAAGTACACTGACGGACAAATCTGGGAAAATTTTTTGAATGGCACTGAGGGAACAACCTTGGTTGAAAAGACCCTTGACAGGTCCTTGTACCTCCTGAGGAATAAGACGTGTCATGTTAAAAAAAGTGATGAAGTAAAGATGGTAAAATATAATGAGGGAAAAGACCAAAATCTCAGGCTTCTTTATACTTTTTTAAGCATTCCTCGGATAACTAACATTTTAAACATGACTGATATAAAAAATTAAGGCTCTCGGATCATTTTCGTGGAATGTATACAAACAATAAGGTCATCAAGCGATATTTCCAATTTTACAAAATGGAATTTTTTTTTCTTTACGTCAGTTAAAGTAGCTCAATATCTACTGTATCAATTATTTTAGTAGCTCATTTTGTGACTAAAAACCCAAGCTTTCGTAGTCTTACTTTAGTTTTATAACTGGAGAAAAACTGACAGAGATGTAAGTGTAAAACTACGAATTGGCAAAACACTGTAACGTTTTTTTCGAGCACTGTATAAAGCATTTGCATCATCGATTAGAACAATAATTTACCTTTTTCTTTGGCAAAACAACCTATTACGCCTTGTTTTAGCGTCAAATTTTGTCCAGATTTAGCTTAAATAACTCATGCTATAGAGCGTTGTGGACGCTCAGAATAGGGCGAAATGTCTCTTGGCCGCGTTTTACTTCCTGATACTTTATCTCAATTTTTTTTGGGTCACTGCAAATTTATAAAAATCCTTATTTTTACATAAGTATCAGTAAGGGAAAATACTTGAAAATCAAACGATCGCGTTTTTCACCCCAAAAACGAAGACTTTTCCTATGATACATATCAGACCAAATTGATTGTAAGGATGGAATACAACTCTGGAAGCTCTTTTTACGAGACTTTTATATGCTAAATTTTGACATATTCGCAGAAAACCGGGTTTGAAACTTTCGCAAATTGCTCATTATTTTCAGTCTGAAAGCTCAATGTAATCAACATCATTCGATGCGCCTTCATTGACTCTCCATAAATGTACTAGAAAGTTGGGTATGACAACGAAAATTTTCATAGTTAAATTTAGCAAAAACGTTTAAAGGATGTCAAATCAAGTCAAATTTGAATACAAAAATTGCAACTGCACAAATCCAAATTTGAGTGCCGCAGCGACAGCTGCTGTGGCAGAAAACTGGGACCAAATCTACTGGCCGTGACGTCGGGTATGGCGCTCTCTCATTTTTCCGCATCCTTTTTTTTTTCCTTTTGCATAACGCGTTTAGTATCAGACCATGGTGGTTTTGGAAACCTTTCGAATGATAATAATACTTTAGCTTCTAATAACACGGGCTTGTACTGTTAGAAGTACTTGATACTAGTTCTTTGAAGTGGAATACAATAGGTACCATTCGATAACGAGCACTGACATACGTAAAATCAGCATTAATTGAATTTGTTTATTAGGTCTTGATACTTTTTTTTGCCTGTTTGACGTCGGTGCTGTTGTCATTACCTCTCTGCTATCTCGGCTGTCTGATTCTTTAGTTTACCATGACTGGTTGTTTCTTGTTTGGTCTCTATCTCTGGCGTTTGCTTCTTTAGTCTTTGTCTGGTCTCTGGTGACGCTCGTTCTTCGGGTTTTCTATGATGTTGCTGCTGGTGTTGCTGCTGGTGTTGCTGCTACTGCTAGTTTGGTCTTTCTTGGTCTGCTATCTCTGTTATATGCTTGCTCTTTGGTCTATTTCTGGTGATTGCCTATTCTCTGGTCTATCGGTGGCTGTGGTAAGTGGTAAGTATCTTCTTTCTTCTGGTCGCAATGATATATAACTTCTTTGAACGCTTATATTTTTGCTTCCTTTCTCGTGATAATGCATTCGTAATGTTTGCTTTGTTGCATTTTTTTTCTTTTTTTTTTGTTGGCTGTGATATGATCGGCTCAACGGATGCTTGCAATGTTGTTGCTTCTTATGTATAAACAACAAGCATGATGTACTACTATATATCTGTATTGCCGTCGTAATACTACTTTGCTATATGGTCGTGAATTGTTGTTTGTGTTGCCTCTGTGGCTTCACATGAAACAACATTAGTCGTTATGTTGTATTGCACAACACTTATAATACTGCTGTTGCTCCTGCAATTGTGCGTATTTGTGTTGCTTTACATCCGACTATTATCATGCATGTTGCTCATGTATGCATTTTTGTTGCAACAACAGCGAGCTGTTCTGAACATCTTTGATGTTGTATTTGTTGTTATACTTTTCTTTTGACTCACTTTTTTGTGTGAGTGTTCCTTTTTTGCTTACATACTACCATACTTCTATGGTAAAGTAGTATGCTCTTTTCTTTTTTTTTTCCTTTCTTCTATTATGTTTCTATGAAGCATACCTTTTTACGTTGTGTGGATGTGCCTATCCCTGAAGCTCAACAAGACTTTATCCGAGGCTAGGAGGTAGATAGGCCGCCTCCACTTGGTTATCACTACTTACTTTAGTGATGATTGAGAGTCTCAACGCCAGAATCTAAAGCTAGGTGGTGTAAGTAAGGCATGCTCTAGCACCTGAGGGAAATTTAATGATAGTAACAGCTATATTGCTATATAGCGGAGCTTAAAATTTTGCCTCACAATAAAACAGAGGGAAACCCTCGCAATTTTTTTTTAGGTCAGCGGAGTTTTCAGCAATCTGATTGGCTCAGAGGTCCAAACGGCGAAGGGTCATAACTAGTTGATTTCCCATTGATCTGTTAATAGATACGTTTTTAATAAAAGACTGAACAAATGGAAACAATTTGAAGCCTTTTTTATTAAAAAGTAAAATAAGATGCAGTTATTTGTAATGCACTGTGGAATACATCCACTATGATCTGCATTCCGACAGTTCATCCAGTTACCAGATTTAGATATAAACTGTATGTACACTGGATTAGATGTACGATATCGATTTATACTATAAGAAGATATGGACTTCAGATACGCTAGTACTATAAGATTCATACTATATAAGATATAGGCTATAGATGGCACCACGGACATGGATGGCGCTATAGACTTATACTTGTATTCTGACATTGACTACGGATGTTTACCATATCTGGATAGGCACCAAGATTAATGCAATATGAGCTTGTTGCTTCAGATGTGCACTTCATGATCCACGCTATAAGACACATGCTTATATCCGTGATACTAGCTACAGATACTTTATGTACTACAGACTTGTACTATATATGAGACATGCTATAGACATGCATACGATATGCTATAGACATGCCATATATCCAGATACATGCTAAAGATGTATGCTTAGCGATATACACTCAGATATGTACTATTAATATAGACTAAGAAGACTGTACCTATCGGATACATACTACTAGATCAATATTAATTATCCTTATAGAAAGGATAGATCAGGGTACTTGGGATGAGAGTCTAATTATTCATCCAGGCAAAAGCTAAACCATGATTAGCTTGCTGGAGTTGTCTTTTAGCATGATTAGACATTAGTTGATCTGAGTTGACTTATTTGTTAATCTAATTAATAGAACTTTTATCCATTGTTATAGTATATAAGAAGGATCATCTACCTGGCCAGTAGAGAGACTTCAGTTTACTTGACACCTGTCAGTTTGATAATAAAACATACCTTTATCAAGTTGACTTTACTGTTTTTTTTTTATTCTTTTTTTTCCGTGAATTTTAGTCTATCAAGCCTCAAATTCCACATGCACAATCTTTTGCATAACAGTTTAATATGAGGAATACTTTTTAAAGCTATCAGGTGGAAAAGTTATAGAAATACTACAGTATCTCAACACAATGATCTTTATTTAAAGATAGAGGAAATGTAATTAGAATTGAACATATTTACAGTTACTCCAAGATTGAATGAGGATTAAAAATAGTGTAAGTTTTGAAGGTATTTATAGTTATTTGACAGTGCCGCATATAACGAAATAGCCAGCTGAAAGCAACGTCATTGAAAGCCCATATTCGTCAAACACCATTCATTCAAATTCGTGCTATTAGATTCTATTAATAAGCGACCAAATAATGTACATTAACAACCACGTAAACATACTAAAATAAAAATGCATCCCTATCTCGCACATTGTGTGAATGAATCACTCTTGATCACAGTGTATTCTATCTCACTCATGGTGACCGCAATAAGTGATGTTATCTTTATTATCCAAACAAAATCAAATCAATGACAAGCATATTCAAATAGGACAACTATGAGCTAATGCTATAGTTGCACAATACTCCAAATAAAGGGTTCTATACTTCAACAACAAACATCACACAAACTGTCAAGGTTGCATTAAATAAGGCTATGACGATTGCTCACCCAAGCCCACCAAGGTTACTCAAATCGACCGTTATGGCCAGTGTTCTTGCATTGGCTACCACTTTAAATCAAACATCAACATCATTTGCCAGATATCGCAAAAGAGCGCCTAGGTATTGCTCTCTATCATCACCAATCCTACAAGCTAGTTGCAAATGTATAAATAATCTTCTTTTTTTACTCAATTCCACGATCTTCAGTTCATTTTACACACAAATAAAATCCAGCTGATTTCCATTGTATTTTACTATTTATTTTTTTGTGAAATCTCTTAAACCTGATTTCACTGCAAGGTAGAGAAATTTGCCATCATCATTATACAGTATATACTATAAAATAATCAAAAAACGCAGGCAAATAAATCATATCCTTTCCAAAATTTTATAGAATTGTGTGCCGTATAAGATGAATAAAACCACCGTCAAAGCCGGCAATGGGGAGGGGGTTTCGGGGAAGAACATAACGCATCTAATTCGACACTTGATAGCATTGATCTATAGGGGGCCTTGCCGTAGCGAAGCAAAAGTGCAAAGCCATGTTAATAAGGCGTCTAATCCAACACTTGGTAACATTGATCTATATAAGGGCTTGATCACAGCGAAGCAACGATGCAAACCTAAGGCAACGATGCAAATCTGACAACTAAGCATCCAATCCAGCATTTGATAGCATTGATCTATATGAGGGCTTGATTGTAGCGAAGCGAATATGCAAAACCATAGTATCTAAGCAGCAAATTTGTTTTCTCATTTCCTTTATTAATAAGCTTATCAGCAACATAGGGTACCAAAATTTGCATAAATCAATTTTAATGCCTCCTGTTCGAATTAGAAGTTCCACAGGCTGCAAAACTGCCCTTCCAGAAGACTTCCGCTACTAAAGATGTGATTCATGCCGTGTAAATAAAAGCAATAAAGCAATACGTAACCAAATTGGATAGTTTTCAAGCCTTCATATCTTGACATATAGACTTTTCTGAGCCACCGGAATAACGCTAAACAATTGCACTTGAGTCATAGTAACTTCCTAACACCTTTGTTCAACTTTTTTGGCCAAAAAAAAACATGGTCAAAAATTGACCGACAAGCATGAGGTACTCCTCATGGTTTTCATCGAAAATCAAACGATGAAGTTTTTCACCTTGAAAATAAAGACTTTTACTATGGCGTATATTAGTTCAAAATGTTTCTTTTAATCCAAAGCAATCTCTGAAACCATTTTTATGAGGTCTTCGTATACAAAATTTTGACATTTTGGCCTAAAACCTTATTTCATGCTTACTGAAACTGCTCAATAACTTCAGTCAAAACATCTATTTTACTTGGTACCACTGAAAGCGCCTTGAAAAGTACTCTTAGGATGTATTAGGAGGCATTCTATGATCATCACAATTTGTATAGTCGAACTTCACAGAATAGATTAAAGAAGTCGCCAAAAGACAAAATTTGGCCAATCTTGACTAAAAGAATAAACTGAATTTGAATGAGTTTTGGTGGACGTCGCTGCTGCTGGCTGGCCCAAATGCCCTTCTGACGATGATAAGGATGATTGCGATACTGATTAAATAGGGAACATGGAATTGAAAGGACAATTGCTTAGCCCAATTATTTTTTTTTCCTTGGGGGTTTTCTACTATAAAGGCAATGGCAATACCTCAAAAAAGTCGCTGTAGATCTTGCACAAGTCCTGCATTTACACATGGCTAGCTTTATGTTACCATCTCAAGAGCAACTTCGGGAATGAATATCTTCTCCTGCTGCCTTTAATATAGCCTTTTTTTTATTACTAATAATTGATTGTTTAAAATCTCTTGATATGCCAGGTTTTTATTATCTCTGATTTGAAATGTCTTCGGTGAGAGCCCGCAGGGCAACGCCGTCATCGCCTAGTGAGATAGATCGGCTAGTAATAATATGTTAGGATACCTTCATTCATTGTCATCATGATACCGATAAACAGTAAACAAGAATATCAATTGTCTCTAAAGTTTTCTTGGTGTGACAAAATAGCCTCAACGACAAAACTAGATGCTAGCAAGGCTGAACAACCACATTCTAGCGTTTCAAGCCTGTTAATGCTCTTTACATTCAAAAAAGTTGTATTTTATTAGCGGTCTAAACTCTGCTCAAAGCTGAAAAGGAGGCATCCTTTATCATTTCGTGTTAAAAGTGGGTGTCTCCAGAGTATGATTTGATAAGCAAGCTATCTCGGTTTTGAATGCAGTGAAAGGGGCTATTTCATCAATCCTATTGTGCACAACAATTTATGCGTATATACTCACATGAAAGCACTTTTTTTAAAAGAAAAGTACGATGCATCTCATACGATGAACCCTTTACATCATTTTCAAATATATAAAGCTAAATATATCAGTTACCTAATACTCTAGGATACACAAACGTAGAGACAGTATGCGATAGTTTAGCTTTTGCATTAGCACTTTAATACGTTTCACTGTTGAAGGCGAATTACCAAGACACACTTCCCAAACATGTCTGACTAAGAGTACAAAAGATTTGCGTATAGATAAAATGTAACACAAAACTAAAAAGATACGAACAAGATTCTAAGCATTTTGCCAATAATACATGCAGACATCATGGTTGTCAAATCACATGGCAATGCACATTTTTATCCAAACAAGTATACATCATCAAAGGCCATAACTTAAGAAAGAAAGGCTTGCTGCATGTCATTTGAGAGTGTACTAGAGTAGAGTACACATTTTTGTCTTTAGTCCTCCCTTGCGGTTGTTTAGGATAAGCCCTGTGGCATCATGTATAACTTTTGTGATATTTGTGTTGTTTTTTGCACTACATTCAATGTATTGTGTGTTTATCTTCCTTGCCAATTCCTCAGCCTATATAAAAGTTAGCCATGTATACACATGCTTGCCTCTCTTTACATTACCTGTTCAATGCTAATCAGTTGTTGTCCATTAGTGCTCAGCTCTGCGATGCGTTTGCTGCTGCTTCTCAAATCACTTTTTGTGCCTACTAATAAACGAGGTGTATTGAACAAAAAATGATCCATTTCAGGTATCCACTAGAATACAAATCAACATTTGTCGTTGTTACCATGTCTCTTATAACTTTACCCTATCCTTGACATTTTCAAATGATTGTATCTGATCAATAGCGAAACAGGCTAGAATAACATCAGTCTCTGGGTAACATAGAGGTCTAAGTCTATCGTATTCTTCCTGGCCTGCAGTGTCCCATAATGATAATTCGATTGATTTGCCCGATTCATGGTTGATAATTGCGATGTAATTTTCAAAGACTGTTGGAACATAATCCTATCGAGAATCAATCAGTGCTTGCTCACGTTTATAGGAGGGTCTTGCTGAGACATACTTCTGGAAATTCGCCATGTTGAAAGACATGTAACAAACTCGTTTTCCCGCAGAATCCATCACCTACGACTACTAACTTTTTCCGACTAGGCTATAAATTATCTCTTATCAGTTTTATTTCTACAAGGCAATGACATCTAGTGTACCCTTCTCATGTTTGAACAAACTGTATTATGGAAGAAAGAAAGAGAAAGAGAAGGAAGCTTGCAAAAAAAGGATCAAATGATTCGCCTGTTTATAACACTATTTTAAGTTCTTGTCATACTTTCCTATTCCAAGCTGAATGCAGTTGGATACAACGCAAGCCATTCGTTGTATGTAGTGATTGATGCGAGAAGACGAATGCGGGTTCCGTTCCAAGCAAAGAAAGAGCGTGAGCAGCCATAATATACTACTGGCACGAACAGCTGTTTTTATCTATTCAGTTAGACTTTAATGCCACATTTGCCTTGAGCATCACATTGGTTGACATTGCGAAGGGTTCAAATATATACAGCACTATTCACCTCGAGGCAAATTACCTAATTTATAAATCCAAATGTACACTGTTATATGTTCAAGCGATGTGGTAATTTAAGCGTAAAACTCATTTCATTTACAAACACGCACACACAATGCCGCCATCGTCGTGCGCAATGAACCTTTACCTTTCTCTGTTAAATCGAGGAATTTTTGAGCACGGGCTTCTGTCCCTTACAAATAGGAGAAAAATTAATATACCAGTTTTTGGTTTGTTTGCTGCTTATTATGGGTGATGTATAGAGACTAGAGCTTATTCTTTGGACATGCTATCCTTCATGTGCTTGTCTATATTGACTGATAGATCAATCAATAGATGAAGAGCATATATAACACATCAGGTACACTATTGACAACCAATCATTCATATCAGTGACGGTGCAAAGTAGGTGTGTGATTATGCTAAATCCTGCCATTCACCCTTGTTTTAAGCATTTTGCATTTTTATCTTTTATTTTTAACCAAATTCGCAGTAATTTCTACCTATGATACCTCGATTACCACCATTTTTACTAGCTCTTGTTGGAGGAGCATCTATATATGGCATTAAATTTATGCTGGATCGCTTTGAGCCCAAGGCAATAGGCCCACCTGGATCAACCGAACACATTGAAAGGGTGTTGAGATATAGACAAAATCTCAAAAGAGTAGCCATTGCATCGGCTGTCTCTGGCGCTGTTTATGGAGTGTATTGGAGTAAGTTTCAGTGGTATTGGAATGAGGCCAATATGTGTTGACCTGTTTCTAGTGTACGATGCCCGCCAGCACCGCCCCTCACCCTCAGTAATCAGCAATGCAAATGAAGGTTTTTATCAGGATCAATACAGCGAAAGAGACAAGAGATTCCAAAGCGAACATCTGAAGCGCCAGATGGCAGAAAGAGAAAAAGAATTGGCTGCCAAACAACATTTAGAGCAAGAAGTGACAGCCATGGAAGATGCATTAAAAAAGAACAAATAAATCCAAATCCATAGTATCGAGATAATAAGAAGCAAATCATCCCTATTCACTGTTTGGCTCCGAATTTGAGGGGATAATATTTTAGATGCCAGGCTGTCGATGAAATTGATTTTTGGCTGTGTGAAGAGCAATCCGTGTAACTTTTTTTTGGACCTTCCTTACCAAGTTTTAACCATTGTCGGCACATTCCGTTTAACAATTCTGGGGCTATACATGATGTCTCACTGCAAGCAATGTTGAGCAGGAGTTTACATGTTAAAAGGAAGAAGATTGAAACAGCATTTTTGGCTTTGAAACTGGAAGAAATGTGTGAAAAGAGATTTTTCTCGGGTAAAGCGGGATGTCCAATATTTGGAGAGTGTGAGTGTATATAATGTATGTGTGTGGGGGGCTAAAGGAAGAGGGGGTCTAATAATACAAAAAATTATGGCTCGGGACAACCATCGATCGGGCACGTTTAGCACACACGCACACACACACATACACACACACACACACACACAAAAACATGCCTCTCTCTCTCTCTCTCTCTCTCTCACTCTCACTCAGGCAAGTCGAATCAATCTCGATTTTTATAAATTCCCCTTTCCCATCTCTTCTTCCTTCTCTTTTTCTTTCGTCAAATTTTTTCAATTTCATCTTTTTACCATTAAAGAATTTTCGCTGTATATTCAAATAATCATCTCGTCAATTTCCACATACGACATCTAATATGCAAGGTTAGTTTGATTCATTTCAATTTTTCACCAGTAAAAAATGAACTAAAATCCACAGGAAAATCATAAATTAAAGGCCTTCAACCTGACATCTCAAACAAGTAATATTTTTTGATTTAGATGTACGAAATCACAGCATCTAACGCACTGCTAGCCCTTTCAAGCTGATCATTAGACAGCAACCTGTGCATTCAAGAATGTGTGGCATTGGGGAAAGAGGTACAGAAATCCAAATTGTATCATATACATGTTGAAGCTGAATTTTCTGTAATTTTGCTCAGTTGATAGACGTCCTATTGATCCACCTCCAGTCGTTCAAATAGTAATGAATAGCGCAGACGATACATCTGTGGAAAGGTAAACAAGCCGCTTTACTGCATGTCAATTTCATGTTTGTAATATAATCATTAGATTATCAGCCCTGTCATCACACCTATTCTTGATTGCTGTGCTTGTGCCTGCGGATGGAAGAGAGGATCAAGAGCAATTGAACATTTTACTACACAGCAAACTCACGGTGGGTCGAACTGTGTCGTCTTTATATACCCTGAGAGATCTAGATGGAACGGAAGGAGCCTTTTTCGTGTTCTCAGACATATCTGTTCGTGCAGAAGGAAACTATAAACTGCGGATGTGTTTATTTGATATACGAGAGTAAGTTGTTAAATTACATTGTTTTAATCTATACATATTTAAACAACTTGAAAAAAAAACAATCACCAGACACACAGTAAACTACAATCTATCTGTCCTGACAAAGCCGTTCACAGTATACTCTGCGAAAACGGTAAGCTAAACATGCTCTCCATCCAACAGTGCTTTATTGACTGAATCACATCAGTTTCCTGGCATGTATCGTTCTTGCCCTCTGGTGCAAAACTTTGCCAAGCAAGGGTTGAAAATTAGAATAAGAAAAGAATCGGGTCCGAGACCATCAAGATATGTGCATTCGAAGAGAAAAACGATCAGAAAAGCCATCCATACGAACGACACGGATGATCCTATGATGAGCAAAAATATGCCGATCGTTCCAAAACCTCGTGTCATTGCGACGACAGCAGCAGCAATATTGACAGCAACAACGGCTGATTCGGAAGAAGACGAGGAAGAGGACGAATACGAATTAGATGATGATGATGACGATGATGAATCACATCAGCAACAGCCTACAGAAAATAACCGCAAAGTAACTCATATCGACCATCTGCTATCACATCCAGCCATGAAAAGCACTATTGACACGCAACTGTCATTAGATGGTCATAATCCCAACATATCCGCATTCAAAAGGGTAAATACAGGTAATTGAAAAATCTTTAAATGTTACAAAAGTTTCAATTTCTAAAACTCTGGTTGCTTTCACTTTCAGAAGCCGAAAGTGCAGTATCAACAAAACGTAGACTTAGTTTATCCTATCTGTTGGATCAGAACGAGAATTTACCGCAACATACCACAGCAAACCCGCTAATAAGCGAAGATTGCAGATTGGCACCCATTTCTACCATACAGCACGCGAGCAAACCTGCTTATTCCGCATTTGGACAAGGTAAATTCTTGGAAATGTCAAATGTAGCAAGTGTTGAATGTGTACGTATTTACTTAGATGTCAAGCTAGCAGATAATTTACCTCCTATTCAACACCCATTTAATTCAGCAAAATTACTACCATACAAACAGGAGGATTTGCCGCCTATTCAAAAGCAATTACAATATATCGGCAAAAGATGAGACAACTGCCAACTTTCTGTATATAAACATACCACCTATTCACCTCTCTCACTTTACATGGATGACATTGTCTTTTCAATGCTACTAACTGTACACTCTATCTCAAATTACTTATCAATAAATCGGTACTCCCTTTCTATTTCCATACAGTTGTTTCGGCTGTCAACCAATGCTGATTCTATGACCAGATCAATTTGAGCTGTCGTGTGCTACTGCCCTGATAATGGCCTCAGCAGGTCGTTGTGCTCAAAAGTGGATCAATAATGCGATTGCATATACAACTGCTAACACCAGCATTGCAGCCGCTAAAAGGAGCCTCTCTGACAACCTAAGATGAGCATGTCGCTGGGAAGACGAATAGTTGAAAGATTCCACATGATGCTTGGCTTTTAACCAGCTAGCAAAAAGCTATTCTTGCATCACGAATAAGCGAAGATGTGATGGTGCTATACAGAGGCATTTGCTTTCCGTTTTGCTAATCTTTATACGGGCCATAGATCATTGTTATACGGCAATGCTACATGCCAAATTGGCAGGGCTCTCTGATTGCCAAGTTCTTGGAAAAGCTTTCAGATTTCATCCACAAATTGTGTGATTCCGGGATTCTTGTAAGGCTTCCAGTGTGTAAAACACGTACAAAACGAAAGCGCGTTGTTCTAGTAATATAGGAAATGCCTGGCTGGCTACAGGCTCAGTTGGAATTCGGTTTGAAATTTTTTCATTGTAGGATATCTCTTTCTTTTTCTTCCTTTGTCTCCTCTCCACGTACAATGTACTCGCCGAGACGAACTGCAACTGATGACTATGAGACTCTATTGAGATCACCTGAGAGAACCAACATGGTTGCATCGCCATTAAGAGCCATCGCATCGCCTTTTTATAAGGCTGTAAAGACAGCACAAAGCAATGCTTCAAGGGATTTTGATAAGTTTTATGGAAATCTTCAACAAAAGCTGACTCCTAGAACAAGCCAGGCTCGTATCCACAAACAAACGCCTGATACAACAGAGAGAATGCGATCCATGTTGCAACAAAGAAGAGCTCAGACCGACTCTGATAGCACGCGGACCTCACTCACACCACTTATAGAAAGACATACCTTGCGAGAAGGTGGGTTAAGACGGCTTTGATTTGCCTCTCCTTAATGCTTAAACTCACAACTGACGCTGCCATGGATATAGATACACGAAGCAATTATAACTACATTAGCCGTAACCCGTTCTACCAGGAATCCGTGTCTGAAATTGCAGAGACGCCATCTCTATCGGATCACAACGAGGACACTCCCATGACTTTTACAACTTTGGGGAAGCGTTCACCTTCCTTCACTCTCAATAGCCCTTCAAGCCGTAAAAAGCCATATACTGGTGTATCATCAACATTGCAACAAAAACTAGCAGAGGAGAGAAAGCGAATGGATAAGCTACAAAGCAATTTACAAAAGATCAGACGACAAGTAATTGGCATAGTTTGTAGAGCATAAAAAGACATGTGTACTAACATGAATCAGTCTTCTTTGTTGGCAGAAGACTTATCCGCTACTCATTTGAGCTTTGCACAAGAGGATGAAGACGAAGATGAAGAGCATGAAGACGAGCAAGACATGTTCATGGCAGCAGCACCTTCCTCTAAAGAAGACATCTTGAGATCACTGAATGTGAGATCAGCTGATGAACGCAGACCTTCTTCAAACACATTCAGTGTAAATGGGCGTCATTCTCCAATGCAAATCAGCTCATCTCGCTCATACAAACATTCGATAACGCCACAAACTAATGTAAGTAGCCAAGTGAAATCAGTGAGTACAAGAATTGATACTGAATGCTCAATGGCATATAGAGCATCAAGCCCACGTCCTCTTCATCAACCGTAACGCAGACAACTACCAGCCTACTTCCATCATCACCTAGACGCACATTGAACCACAATGGCAATAATAACAACTACTCTATTCCCAATACTTGCGATACAACGTCGCCATCCTCTTCGCCTAACCGCATTGTTCCACCAAAACGCACCATTATCAACGATATTAGCAGTGGGCATTTGAGATCTGCAGAGACCTTAAGGTAAGCCTGCGCATACGTACGATTATGACAACATGAACTCAACGTATGGATAGCACGCCAGGTGGCAGCCGCGTCAGTAATCGCTTTTGGAAGGAAATTCATGGCCTGAGCACACGTAGAGAATCAGCATCTCCCAGTCGCACAACAAGCGGCCGCATAGGGAAGCCCACTGCACCAACTGTTAAACGTGCTTCAACCCTGCAAATCAATAGCAGCAACTCATGGGCGAATGATGACGGATTCTGGTCCTCCAACAGCTCACCTGTGGCAAGTTCGCTCAACAACAAACTACTGCAATTAGCTCAGGAAAAGGACAAGGAAGAGACATCTACACATATTCGTCAGTCATTTGTGAAAAGATTGTTTGATACCAACAAAGAAAGCGAGGTCGACTCAGAGGAACACAGTTTATTTCAGAACCCATTGTTTAGAAGAGCAGCGCAATCAGAACAGCAGGCTTACTCTATGAATGAATCTTCCCCTCCTCCTCCAATAACAGCTTCAGTGTCTACACAACATGCCAGCCAAACGCTCTCTGCAGAAATTGAAGTGGCAAACAAGCGAGATGAGATCAAGAAAAGAAACAATATACCAACAATGAACGCTGACGTGCTTGCTGAATTGAAAGCGAGACACAAGGAAAAGCTCATTGACGATGCGGATTCTTACAAGTTTGCTTAAATAATAAAAACCAGCGTGTCTTTCACATTGCTCCAGAAGCTCTTAATCTAAGGCTACTTTGCACAAAGGGCTGATGCAATCTCGATTTGTGTAATCCTGCTGTGGGAGGATATCTTGTGGCACCGAGAACCTGGGTCGTACGTACGCAACATGGAGGGTCGTTGTTGTGTGATAGTGTTTGCAATCAATAGGCATTATACAAGCCGCATGCAACGATGCAATATGCCACTATTGCATATAGCTCAGTCGACTGGCTCTATTGTATTTTTATTCGCTTAATGACATTCGACTCAAACCACCACTTGCATCATGCAAATTGAATGAAGTGCTACTGGAAGCCTTTTGCTGTGCTCTTGCAGCTGCATTAGGTGACGTTCCACCAGGGCCACCATGACTACCACCACCTTGATAGGAGGCAAAACTTGTCGGTGGACTCGAGTAGCCTGTTAATATAGGAGAGCCATTCAATGAAACGGATGGGGAAACAGCCCGTCGTTTAAGGCCAATGGATGTAGGATAAGGTTCAAATCTATCCTCAGAGGCTATTGTTGTGTACGCAATGAGTCTATTTGCGTCTCTTGACCCCCCCCCCCTGAAACGCTTTACCTTTTCGTTTGATACTCTTGTATGCGTGCTGTTGTTGTGGACTAGGTGATGCTATGTTCTCGAGTTGGAAACTCTAGTAGGGTGTCAGTATTTATACGTCATGAGCGTATGCCAACCTTAATTTACCGTCATTTCAATCTCTGGGTTAAGTTTTGAACATTGGTATAAAGGTAAATCGGTTACTTTGGTCCATGAAGCAGCAGGAACTCCTTGCTGTGGCTTCTATTTGTGGTGGCATATTAATACACATTGCGCTAGAATGCCAATTTGGTTAGCTTACATCAGTGGAGGCGGCATACTCGTTGTCTAATGTCTTGAGTTGCACAGTTGTCTCATGCTCCCTTCTCATCTCTAAATCTCCTAAATGTGTATCTTCCTACAGTTGTCAGCAATTAACAAGCATGCTGGTAGATAGAGGGTGTATCTCACTTACGTCTGCTTGATCAATGACTCTTAAAAGAGCTTTCGATTTAGGCTTATTTGAATGAGCATTCAATTTCAGGAAGAATTCAATCAGGCCAAAACTTACTAGTAGCGAGCTCCTACGATTCACACTTCTCCTTTCAGGATCTCTTCTTTCACGAAGATCGTAAGAGGATTTTGTCTGCGCCGTCTTCTTGCCCATAATATTACTATCCACCATGTAAAGCTCATCTTGCTGTCGGATATTATAGCTGCTCAAATTTGCCCAACTACTGCCTATCGGCCTAATCACTCTTGTTGTTGTCGACGTTATTGTGGAAGGAGTGGTTGCTGGTGCTGATGATATTGCGGAAGGAGGTACAGTTGAAGTATCCATGGCATGATTGTCTCTTCGACTTGTTGAGGATACAGACCGCGCATCATCAGAATCAACGCTCATTTTGTTGTACGATGAAGCAGAAGGCGATGCAGGTAAAGATGGAGTCAAAGACATCCTTCGTATGTTGTTGTCTCGATATTCACTTTCCAAATCTGACATTCGACTCAATTCATCGTCGTCTGTAAAGCTGCTCTTTGAGTTTTCCCTCTTGAACGGTGTTATTGTTTCCATGAAATAAGGTATAATACTGCAAAATACAGCGAGAAAAGGTGAAACGAGATAATATGAGCCCTCGAACCGTTTTTATTTCAGTTTTTTTTTTGGTGCAATTTTTTTTTTTTTTTTCCATTGTGAAAGTTTCTCTCTTCTCCTACTTTCGCACCTACATGTATTTTCCAGTGCACGTTCAGATTACGTCCTTGGATAATTCGCCTTGTGGTAACATTGATTTGATTGTAAATTCATTATCAAATGCATCAATAAAGCTGATTAATTTGATGAACGTCCTTGTGCTCACTGAATGCAGATAATGTCATATATATATATATATGCATAGCATTGGATTCCCTCATGAAAGCACTGATATTATGCGGCCATCTTGACAAGGAAGGGTCATGAAAATGGATTGCATGATGTAATTTACTTGGTATCTAATTCGCTGCGTTTAAAAGATTTTGTTCTTGCTCATGTATTATTGAGGCAAATGCTTTCAAATCCTCGTTTTTCCATATTTCTTTCTCTTTTTCTCACTCATCCATCTTGACAAGACAAATGTCTATTATCAATGTCTATCGCGAAAAATGAATACAAATCAGCCGTACTATGGTATATGAATGGGATCGTAGCGACATTTTACGAATCAGAAAACCAAGATCAGAAGAAGAAGGTTCTTGTTGATACCATCAGCTTCACTAGCAAAGCTTATTTAGCCTTTCGAAAAATCAGCTCTTTGGTGAGTGATAGCAAATGAATAACGAAACCATGGTTTATTTTTGACGTTGCAAATGACTAGCGCATCGCTCCTCCTGCTGTGCCCTATTTGGAAAATTTGTCATCACTGTTATTACAAAACAACAATCTCAAAACCATCCCGAGCGAATTATGGCGACTTGTCAATCTGCAAGAACTAAACCTTGGTTGCAATCAGCTCCATGCTTTGCCCAAAGAGATAGGAATGTTGACAAATTTACAAGAGCTGTTCTTGCATTCCAATCAGTTGGTGAATATACCCTCACAAATTGGCTATCTACAGCAGCTGCAAGTACTGGATCTGACAGATAATCAATTGGAAAGTTTACCGGGCGAATTAATGTCGAGACTACAACTGAAAAATTTGTGGGTAGAAAAAAATCCGTTCTCTGCCAAACCAACAACATCACTCAGCATGATTACTCTCAAAGATATATGCGCTCAAGCGATCGGCTGGTGGTGTTTGGCAGATCCTGATTCGAAGGATGTGGTGCTTGATTTGCCGGATTCGATTTTGAATAAGTCTCTCATTGTACCTGACAATATCAACTTGGTTCCATTATGCCAATCTTGTGAGAGGAGGCTCTTTCATAGCGGACTAAGCCTAGTGGTAGAGAGCCATAGTATACCATTTGTCTACAACGCTTGTAGTCAAAATTGCTATATTCATTTATATAATGCAGTTATTTGTTCAAATAAATAATTCATAGAATTGTATGTCACTCGTCTCATTATTTGACTTACATTTCGCACTGCAGTCTCACATTTGAATGAGCATTTTGCAAAAATCTATTCTAACTGATAGAAAATAACTAATAATGGTGGTAGCGAAGCTGGCTTATACTACTTTGTAAATCAACTGTCCTTTTTCTATTAGCCTCACTGACAATGTTGTCTCATCATAATGACAGTGGCATGGATCTCGCCAGTTGTAGCTAGCTGCTGCTCCACTACTAAAATTAATTTAATCTCCGCTTCATTTTTTTTCGCTCAAGATTGGCCAATTTCTGTTCAAAAACAACTTGATCGATCTATTTTCTTAAATTCGACTATAAAAACTATGATGATCATCTCATACTCTCTTAAGCTGTCCCTGGTGGTAGGGCGAAGTGGTAGAAACTCCCGTATGCCAACGGGAGGATCCCGGTTCAAATCCTGGTGAACGCAAGTTGTTTGATTTTTTTTGACGTAGTACTGATGTCCTCGTTTGGTGTTTTGTGCTCTTATCCATGATCTATATTTTGACGATTTCCGCAAGACTGTACTGGCTCTAGGAGTCGCACCTTATTAGTAGTAGATTTCTTTCCCAACTTAGTTCAAAAAATATCTTATTCCCCTTCTTTGCAGACATTGGGTCCACCAACAGTCTTTTCTATCCCTCAGCATGACATTTAAAGGACTTTAAATAAAACCTGGAGCTCGACTCCCCTACAAAAAAAAAAAAAAATACTCTCTTAAGCTTTTCAAGAGTGCTTCTCAAGATGCTTCCAAAGGTACCAATTACAATAGGTATTATTAAAGAGCTTGTGAAGCAATTTTTGAAAATATAAAATGAGGTTCTTGGCCAAAATATCGAGATTTTACATACAAAAGCCTCAAAAACAAAGTTTCAGGGATTGCTTTGGATTTAGAGAAACATTTTGATGTAATACATGCCATAGTAAAAGTCTTCATTTTCAAGGTGAAAAAAGCGATCGTTTGATTTTCGATGAAAACCATGAGGGGTACCTCATGCTTTTTGGTCGATATTTGACCATGTTTTTTGAGTCCTCAAAAAGTCGAGTAAAGGTGTCAGGAAGTTCATGCTAGATAAGAGCAACTGTGTGGCACTGTTCTGACGGTTTAAAAGTACTCCTAATACGAAAAAACGCGGATCAAAATCACTCGAATGTTGCTGTGTGTCGCATATATTTGAGCAATAAGAGGTAATACAAGTATGCTGTATGCTTTATATGAACTGCTCTTGACGATACAGATGTGAAGCATCGTAGAAGATTCAGATCTACAATTACAGGCTGTTTACAGGCATTTTTCAAGTAGCGGCAAAAGAGGTTTTGGCATATATATAAGTAAGATGTAAGTGTGCTCGAGATAGCCTAGAAACTGCTTGATTTACGATAAAAGTACCGTTACAAATGACGCTATGTATCACGGATTATGTTGTTTTTTTTATTGGAGATCATCATACTTTTGCAAAAGGATTACGATTTAGTCTCAATTTTAGCACTACAAGAGTAACGGTAGCCACTAAATAGGCGACGCCAGAAAACATTTTGTAGCTAAAGAAAGGCTCTGTACCAACACCAGCTTCAATGGCACTTGCAATGTTGGATCCGAAAACGGGGATGACATTGGTAACAAGTAAGAGTGACAATCCAGAAGGAAATCTGTCCATGCCCAAAAGATAAGCTGTGATGGGGGAGATCAATGCGAAATACGAGCCACTGGTCAAGCCAAATACAGTGGAGAAGGCCATTAAAGTACCGTAGTTTGATGCAAATGTCCAGATGAGCAGACAACTTAAGGCGGTGATCAAAGTAAATATCAGATTGGTGTTCACTTTACCGATGCGATCAGCCAGAATACCAGTGATGACACGGCCCACAAAATTACAAGCAGAGCTGACAGCAACCAAAGCAGATCCTTTTGATTCATCAAGTCCAAGATAAGAAGCATAGGAAGGCAAGAAAAAGTAAGGGACAAAGTAACCAAAGAGGCCCACATTGGAGGCAATGCAAAAGATGACAAAATTTGCATCCTTAAGAACAGCAAAATTGACGATTTGAGACAGTTTCTTTCTATTTCTAATGGCTGGAGGGTTTCTTTCCTTCACTGTCAAGCAAGCAACGACATCACAGAACAAGCAGATAAAGCCAAGAATACGGTAAGTCCATCCAAAACCTAAGCTACTATTGATGGCCGTCATCACAAAAGGGATCACTAAACCGCCAATGCCAGATCCACTAGCAATAATACCAAGAGCAAGGCCTCTACGCTTTCCAAACCACTGAGGAGCCACGCCCATGATGGCCACATAGATACACGAAGCACCAATGCCAAAAACGACCCCTTGTGTGAGGTATAGATGCCAAATCTGAGTACTGAAGCCAGCCATTTCCAGACCAAGAGCGACGAATATGGTACCAGCGACCAGTACATAGCGGATACCAAACATAGAAACACAGATTTGAACAATAGGACTGACGGAATTGAGACATACCATGGCAAGAGTGCCCACAAAGCTTAGGTTGACAGTGGCATTGGGTACGTTATTGAACATATTTCGTCCAAAGTAATCTTGCATCACACCTAGAAATTGATCCTTGTTGGTTATGGATTCTGTTTTTATACATTGCGCAAATTTATCTTACCCCTAGATGAACGAATACAAGTTAATAAAAGACAAAGATCAAACTGCACGCTGGAAGACTTACCAACTGGTGCAGGTGCCAAAGCTGGTAACTTGAACGAGGAATGCACCCAGAACTACAAACCAGCCATAGCCGCCATCATGCTCTTCTTCATCATGGCGAACTGGCGGAAGTCCCTTTTCACCCTCAGTTTCAGACAGTGAGATGGCTTTACTGTCTTGGTACACTAAAGAAATTCAAATGTTGAAATTTCATACAATAAATAAAGTGTGTTAGTTGACAGATGCATGTGGAAACGAAGATGGCACACATTACCTTCAGCAGTGTCGGAGACAGAGTGACCAGTGCTGCTTGATTTTGAAACGACATCTTGGTCAGAGAATATCTTTTCTTCGGGATGATCTATAGTAATAGCACGTTCGTTTGTCATTTTCTCTTAAAAACAATAATGGGGACTGATGTATAATGTGTCCTCTCTTTTATGTAAATGAAATTAAAACGATAACCTACGGGGTAGCAAACAGAGATTCTGAAAGGCTTGTTTTTGGATGTATGAAGAAGGCAAGACAGAATCCAGAAAGAAACTAATTTTTCCGCACTTTTTATATCATTTCAACTTGATTTAAATATAGAGTTTGATCCAATGATTACAAAGTCTTTAGCATCGTCGTACGCCCATGGAACGATGAAATTGTATGGTGCGAAATCAAACAATTCGGATCCCCCACAACAAAAACCCGCGACCCCCCCCCCCGTAAAGATATTCGGGCTGCGCAAATCAAGCGTCAATGGTAAGCACAGGCTTCTCACCAACGGATAAAATAACGCCTGCAAAGTTGATCTTAACTGAGGATGACCGTCGAGTGACATGCTTGTAGTAGCAGCAGGTATTTCATGGCCCAATCAGCCCTGAAATTACAAGTTTTATGTCATGTTTGAGGCCCTTAAATGGAACAAATGTATATATAAAACAGTGCATGTGTAACAAACAGTACTTGCTTGCTAAGTTGAGGATAATTTGTCAGCTATGGATTTCCGTTTGTAAACGCTCGGCTTCAAGCGAGATGTTGGGCAGATCTTTTTGTTTGCAACAAAGCGCATGTAACCATCATCTATAGTGATGGCCACTACTATGCGAAAATAGATGGTATATATCTCGATGTATCACAGGTATCAGATCCTTATCATGGTGCCAGATAGCAAGGCAAAGGCACATTGGACCTGTACCCTGATCATATTCTTAGGATATAGTGCGATATTCCCCGCTATTTGCTAACAGATGGGACACAAAAGATTGACATTCAGAGCATTGTTGATAGGCAGGGCAATTTTGGACCATCTCTTGGTGATTGGGTAACATGTAAATGCCAACTGGCGTTTTTTCTCTCTAGCCCGCCTTGGCTGTAGGGGATGGTCGAGCAAAATCCTTGTCATTGCGGTAATGAACAGTAAAGGAATGGAAGGACAGGGGGGGTGCTGATTGAATCAAGAAAAGCACTCTTACATCTAGTGCTATGGCTCTACGAGGCTCGGAGCATTATCAAATGCTCTTACTAGTAAATTGGCCCGAGTTTACTATATAGACAGACAAATTGATGGATGCATGAATCGCAATCAGATTCACCCACTGAACAATTGAAAGCCATTGATCGTCGCTGGATTAGGTGACTTGGTTTGCACAGTCATTTAAGGAACAAAGAATGGATTCTTTTCGTGTAGTTGCTTGTTTTCATTGTTTCTTTTCCACATATGATTATCGACGACAAAGCATTACGAGAATACAAGGTGCAACTACAGCAATCCATTGTTGTTTGCTCCGAGAGATGTCTGTTCTACTCTAGCAAATGGTATACATGGCTCATGTAGTTGCTTCATTCACAGTGATTGACCACTTTGCCTATTTGGTAGGGCTGCTGAAGTGTTAGATGGCATTAAAAAGGACATCCTGGATGACAAGGAGCCATTTACCAACAATGAATTACAGTCAGCCCCAACATACCAAATCCCATACGAGGCCTCTTTGCCGCCTTTATCCGAATACGAATACAACAAATACCAATATGCAAAATCACTATTTCAAATCCGTCAATTTGATAGCGTCAAAGATGTATTAGGGAACTCAAAGTCACCCAAACTTTATTTCTTACGGCTTTACGCCAAATATCTGGTAAGCATAAACATGGTGGGCATGATTCCGAGACTCATCCTGTCATGTACAAACAGGCTGGAGAGAAGAAACGAGAGGAATTGAGTCAAGAGATATTTGGGATAACAGAAGATACAAAGGCAGACAATCTAGAATTGGATTCAATATTCGAGGAGCTCTCAGAAGATCATGACAAGGGCAATTTGGATGCCTTTGGTTTATACTTGTAAGTGTCAGTAACGCAAGCCATGGCATGTGCTAAGGCATCTCACTGATATAGGTACGGCATTGTGTTGAGAAAGCGTAATGCTGGATTCAAAGCAGCAGCGATATTGTTAGAATCGATTCGAAAATTTCAGTACAACTGGTCAGCATGGATGGAACTGGCTTTGCTCGTACAAAACAACAAGATGTTTATGGATTTGCAAGTATTGGTCAATAGGGAATTCGAAGGAAGTGCTATCAAGGATTTCTTTTTGGCAAAATTGTGTATTGATTTGCATCAACCAAGGCCAGTGTTTGCGGCCATCATGGAACCTTTGACCGCCTGCTTTCCACACAGTGCGTATGTCAAATCACAATGGGCAGTACTATACTATGATACAATGGGTAAGCGCAAATGTGTGCCTGAATCTGAATTAGCGATTTAATTTAACTGTATATAGATTACAATGAATCATTGCTCATGTTTGAGGAGCTTCGAAGAGCATTTCCCTCGAGATTAGAAGACATGGATGTGTTCTCTAATTTGCTGTATTTACAAGACTCAAAAGATAAACTTTGTGTACTCGCCTTGGATTGCGATAAAATCGATAGATATAGACCTGAAACGTGCTGTGTGCGAGGTAATTTAGTATCAAGAAGCTGCAGCGACGAGTTGCTCATGCATTGCTTATAGCAAACTACTATAGTGTCAAGAGAGAAGTGCCTGAGTCCATTGAATACTTCAAAAGAGCGTTAAAATTGAACCGAAGCTATCATCTTGCATGGACATTGCTGGGACATGACTATATAGAATTGAAGAATACGAATGCAGCCATTGAATGCTATCGAAGAGCAGTTGGCAAGTGAGCAGAGATATGCAAAAGATAAGCACACTAAATCATAAAATAGGTGTCAATAGTCGAGACTACAGAGCATGGTATGGTTTAGGTCAAGCGTATGAAGTCAGAAAGTTCCCCTATGATGCCATCTATTACTATCAAAAGGCGACAGATCTTCGCCCGTATGATGCACGCATGTGGCGAGCCTTAGCGAATTGCTACCAAACTCTGCAGCAAGATGACGAGGCCAGAGATTGCTACAAACGAGCCGCAGCTTGCGACAAGACTGGAAAGAACTTGGCCATGGTTCAATTAGGAAGAATATTTGAAAAGATGGGCAGAATGAGTGTTGCGATTGATTATTATCATACAGTGTGGGAGCAAGCGAGATACAATGTGAGTTTCAAAACTGCTCAAAAGTGTACCTGAAAGACTAATGCAAGTGTAGAAAATCAACGACGAGCTAGCAGAAATCTGTTTAGTTCTAGCAAGATACGCCATCAGCAAGCAACGCTACAAGGACGCTGAAGAATACGCTATTTCTGCACTGAATACGAACCACCCAGTAAGTTTTCTGAATATGAGCAACAAGCACGTGCAGCATGTCTTAATAATGAGCATTGTTTTATATTTTTTCTGTTGCGAAAAGTATCATGAACAAGCGAGAGTAATGCTAGACGAAATCAAGATTTTCAAGGAAATGAACAGACAATCGCAAAACGCACCGCCAACAAGCTGAATACCAGTCTGCCCTGTCTGATGATTTGAAGTTCCAATGTTGCAAGTAGCACAAGCAATTGATTTTTTTCAAACAACTATATCGGGGTGTATTAACATCACACACCTTTAAAATAAACATGTCAATAATCAACTCCTATTCATTCATCTTTCTCCTCCTCTTTTTCTTTCACTCTTTATTTCTCTTTAAGAGTAAATGCAATATCAAAATAGACCTCAAGAACATTGGGACAACAAAACCAACATGGCAAAGACGCAATCCACTGCCTCAGCAGCTTATTCTGTCTCTTCATCCTCGAGTCGACAAACCAGCGCCTCACTACAAGAATCGTCTGCCAGAACTTACTTTGCTGAACTTGGCAAATACCTCTATTCATTACTAGCAAAAGGTAATTGGTGTTGATGCTGCTGCTGCAAAGAATGAAGCTTATGCTCACATGCAATTAAATAGAGGCAGCAGAAGGTGTGCCTAATCAGCGATCGGCTGCCAGACAGAAGCTATCCCGATTAAACAACCTACAGTTTCATGAACTAGCGACAGACGTCTATGATGAGTTAGTGAGAAGAAACGTCGACAAACACAGTATGTTGTCAATCTCCATGTTCTATTACACAAGCACAAAGACTGAACACATTACACAAAATTAGAGTCATTTCTACAGTTGAGAGAGGATTTCCATCCTAGACGAAACCAGGCAAGACAGAAACTGGCTACATTACCAGAGGGCAGATTCAAGGATCTTGCAAGTGATGTATACCATGAACTAAAGCGAAGATATCCACATGTTGCCATGGAAGAAGAGGTAATTTATATATATATTTGATGGATACCACGTGTCTAAATATACAATATAGCTACCTCCTATGCCGCAGAACAAACAGATGGATACAAAGGCACAACTAAGTCAGTCAACAAACATTATACCAGTAAAGGGAATGATTAGTGTGGAATCAATGGACTACTCAGACGAGGATGAAGGAAATGGACGATCGCCTGTTTCAGATAATGGCAATATTCAGTCATTGGACAGTTTGATGGCTGATTTAGGCAATATGGTCAAAACACCCCGCCCTGACGTGATCAACACTGCAGACATAGACGCTGTTCGATACGAATACGAGGCAAAGATCAGTCAGATGGCAAAACGGATAAAAATGCTCGAATTATCCCTGGATTCAGTAAGTATGATGATATTTCTGCAAAAACAAAAAAAAATCAGGAGACCTCTAACGTTGGGATTAGGATACTTCTAATCCTCTGGGCCAGTCCAAGATCAAGCAGATGCAGGATGAATACAGACTGTTAGACAACAAGTACACCCAATTGAGTAATGAACACAGAGAGCAGCAAGTGGTATGTTGGCTGTCATGCGCCCATTATGGTTTTACTGATTTTTTCTATTTCTGGGAGCAGGCCGTTCGCGAAGTTAAACAAGAGATCAAACAACTGATCGAGGAGCTGAAAAATCTCTCGGGAAAGAATGAAACGCTGAGGATACAAAACGAAAAAGCAGAGGCAGAGATTCGAAACCTATCGCAAGAGACGAAATCATGGAGACGAAAATACGAAACTGTGAGCATGGAGCTTCGAAGTTTCAAGGTCAAATCAGTTGCACTGGACAATCAGGACTTATCAACAGACTTCTTTATGAAGCCCAATGCAAAAGGTGCCATTGGGCATCAGTTTATTATCGACTATCAATCAGCCATTGAGGAACTATTAAAGACATCCAGATCAAGCAAGCCCTCCGATGTGCTCATCTCAATGCGAACAATTGTCATGGCGTGCAAATCAATTACGACCGAGGTAGAGGAGTACGAAGTCAAAATTGGATTATCGCCTGCAAATCAAGATGCCCTATACAATATCAAAAAGAAGTTTTCAATCGAATTGACCAATCTACTAGCCTCTGCCAAAAACTTTGCTGCAGGAATGGGCATCAGTCCAGTCAGTTTACTTGACGCCGCTGCAGGCAATCTGACCAGCACCATTGTGGATCTCGTTAAATTACTGGGCATGAGGCCTATCGGTGATAATGATTATGCGGTACAATCTTTATCAGCTTCAGAAAGAGAAAATGCACCGACGATGAATGGAAAGCATGGCGATACTCAGTTACTCAATCCACACCAACTCTCTGTAAGTTATCTGTGATAACAGGCTGTATATTTAATAATGTGATCTCTTGTCTATAGCAATTCCTCAAGACAGAAACAGACCATATTGTGTCATCAGTGCAAAATTTACTCGGTTCATTAAGGTCCAACGATGGCAACTTATACGACATTATCACGTCAATTGTCAAAATTGTGGCCAATATCATCCAGGTATCTCAAAAATCGTTTTCTTCGGGTGAGGGCCTTAAATACAAAAATCAGGGCAGTACTATTATTAGCGATCTGGACAGATGCAACAGCAAAATCATACAAATCAGAGATACTTCCTTCATTCAATCACCAGAAAACGCAAACGCAATTGCAAAACGAAACTTGGCACAAGAATCTTATGAAATTGCTAAATACACAAAAGAGCTTATTAACATGCTGGATATGTAAAAATGGCTTCTTTTTTACTTTTTGTAAATACATACTTTTTTCTCTCATTACATCTACTTTCTCTACTACTTCAACAGAAATAAAACTAACATTCAAGCATGAACACCTCAAATAGCGAAATATCCTGACCTACATAATTTGACTGCTGGTATTACATGTGCGATTTATTATGATAGTATAAGATGCATTGCTTTGGTAAAACAGAGCGTGGAGGGGCCACTTATCTTGCTAATTCGATGTAAAAAAAACTAATCCTTTGCAGCTTGGAATCTTGCAGCAATGTCTTCTATCGAACGTCCCTTGGTTTCGGGAATCTTAAAGTGAGTAAACAGCAAAGTAACGAATGCGACAATGGCAAAGATTAGGAATGAATAGCCATGGATATTGGAAAAGATGATAGGGAAGCACTATCCGATCAGAAAATTCATGGTCCAGTTCATAGCAGCAGCAGAGCCTACAGAGGATCAAGCATACACAGGACTCAATTCAGATATCAACACCCAAGGAACAGAGCCCATGCCAACGGCGAATAAAGCGACATAGCTGAAAAGAGAGAGTACCATCAAGGCGTTGATGTTGTAAACATAGCTAACAGTTAATAAGACAGCAAAATACACGCACCAGCTTGAGACACCAACAGTAGAGATCGACGGCCCGTGCGATCTATCAAAAATATAGATACCAAATAACGAGGAGATTCAATACACAATGGCATAAGAATTGTTTGTATCAAGGCAGGGATAATAACAATTGCATAGTTGACCCTCCAGAGGGGCACAGCAGACAGAGGAAGGCCAATAATGCAGGAAAGCAGAATACCAGTACTTGTCATCATCTGATTGATTGTGTCCAGAACGCCTCTGGACTTAACTGTTAATATTTCGCCAACGTAGATAGGTACAGCCAATGATCCCAGGCCACAAGATAAGCCGCAGATGATACGACCAACGATAAACATGCTTGGAGATATGGAGCGATCGATCAGGATGCCACCAATGGTATATCCAAAGCTATTATAGAAAATGGCTCTACGCCTACCAAATCTTGTTTGAATATAACCACCTAAAAGACCGCCGATAAGAGCGCCTACGCAGAAAGATACCACTGCAAATCCCCATGTAGCATCGCTCATTGGTAAGCTGTCAGGGAGCATGGAGGTTTGAACGTGAGCAATCCCATTTTCGCAAGCATGCGTGATAGCTCCAGGCAGATTAGCAGAGCCAATGACCCAACCGATGCAGAAAAATTGAGGCTTGCAACAACGACACAGAATAACATGTATTTTGGATAGGTAAGGTCCAAAGAAGATGTTGATGCTTCAATTGGCATTTTATATGAATTTAATGAGAAAAGAAAGTGAAATAAACGTCAATTCAGATATTTATATGAAAGTGTTATAGTGGTGGATTCCATTTATGTATATAATCTTACAAGAAGTCTTTGCTCTGTTCGATTACAATTGGTAAAGTAAATACTGCAACCGTTACACCTTTGTATTGACATTTCCGAATGACAATCGTGAAAGCATTTGATGGAAAAAGGATAAACTTTATTTTACATCTTCTAGATTGTAGATCACAATGAACGGTTACAATGTTTACGCATGAGTATAGCAGTCTAACAGCCTGATCTCTGTTATACAATTTACTGCTCGCCAGTAAATCAAACTCCAATTGTTTCTTAATTTGACATGGCAGGGCTCTCTATTTTTAAGCATACCTTACGAGTGGGTTATGAATCCGAATTACTTTAATTTTGACAAATACGTCTTTAGTTTTTACCTTTTTGGTACATCACTAATCCAATTAGTGGCATCATTCTATTCATTGGCACAATCCCTATCTATCTTCTCTTTTTATATTTTCTTTGCTTGCTTGTAGCCGGCCTATCATGCTCTTGTTGTTTAGTCTATTCTTGCTTTATCATAAAAGTTGGGTCAATCTATTGGGATTGCTTGCTATGAGGGAATTAGATAAGATACATTGAAAAATGGCAAAATAGAATACTTGAAGTATAGTCGGTAGAGAAGAACAAAGTGAATGTCTAGAACCTGCTCTAAACAAACAGATTTGTATTTCATATCTCGATACGGAGACTCTCAATTCTATTGTGTCTGGCTAAACAAAACAGAAGATCACCTGTAATATCACAGAAATCGTATAGTACGACAGTAACATTAAGACAGGTGTTGGTAATTGATCACGTCTCTCACTAGTAGATATATTCGCCTTTATCTCCCTTTTTTATATAGCTCGGAAAATTTATCAAGCTTGAGGAAGATAAATTTTAAATAGATTGATGTAAAACAAAAGATGGCTCTGTGCATCATCTCATCTCTGACCTACATCTCAAATGAAGATGCCCACAGATAACACAGAGAAAAAGTGGAAAAAAAATAGCATTTGAAATTTGTACCTTCAGCATAGGAGTAACTTGGATTTCGTTTTGTTTGTTTAACGAATGCCTACGACTCGTAGGTAGCTTCGCAGGTACGAATGCACAGCTAAGGAAAGAAAACTCGGTCACGTGATAAACATTAAATTTTCGTTATATTAGATACTTTTTATTTGCATGTTTAATATTGATACTCTGCGGTGCTGGTTTTGTGAAATGTGTAGCGAAATGTGTGGAAGATCTTGCAGTAATAGTTGATCCCGAGACAAAACCAAGTAATTAAAGCTGTTTAAGCTGCTGATGTGTTGCAATAGCCTTGACGTAGACAGTATCTCAGCGATTAAATGTATATATAAAGTTATGTACCCAAAAGATTTAAACGTAGGAAAGTTCGATTTATTTCAAATGTGTTGTATAGATTCAAGTATATATGTCAAAATAAAGAAATGTAAGAATAAACGATTTGAACGCCAGTTCAGGAACAGCACTCTAAGAGGCTCAGAGTTCAATTACCGCTTCTTAAAATCAGCACCACCACAAAATCCTTTTACCATCGTAACAATGACGTCTTGATAGATAGATCCAATGGTAGGAGTTAACAAATAACTTGGAGCGTAACTAATAGATTGAGATTATGTTCGAAGATGCTGTTTATTGTTTTTAGAATAACAAAATATAGACAGAGTAAATACAATTAGAACTGAATATATTTATTATGTTATTCCAAGATTGAATAGGGATCAAAACTAGTGTAGATATCAAAGGTATTTATAGTTATTTGACAGTGCCGCAGCAATAGGACCTTGATCTTGAATGCGGGATAATTGTATAAGCCTTGAACCAGTAACGAGGATGTGCTGCATCAGAACTCATGAACCACCAGTCAAGGATAAACAACAAAGATGATCCAGGATAGAATGTTCTTCCTAATAGCTTTGACGGAAGAACATTTGTCGGAATTGAAACCCACTTCCAGGGACGAAAGACCATAGGCTACCACTCTCTAGGAACCAGGATATAGATTAGCCATTTGATGGCACCACTCATGTTCCTTCGTGCTGCTTGAATAAAGACCTCTCACTTCTACTATGCATCTCAGCTCATTCTCAGATCCTCTTATGTAATAAACGACGCTTAATACATTTGCCTCTCAGAGATGATCTATATCCTCAACATATTGAATGCATTTACAACTTATATTTACACTATTTCTACGATCGATAATTACTTAATCAATAGAACTTTCGAGTAGATATAATACTTGATATAGCAACTGATAATCAGATCAATGTCTGCTACTATCAGTTTCCAGAACCTTCGAGTATGTGCTGGCGCCTTTTAGTCGCTTTCTTCAAATCTGGCTTGAAGTTAAATTTAGGCACGACAACAATATAACAGCTTCCGTGGCGCAATTGGCTAGCGCGTCTGACTGTTAATCAGGAGGTTGGTGGTTCAAGCCCACCCGGGAGCGTAATTTTTAAAAAAATTTTAATTACGTGAGACGTTTGATCTTTTATTTTTATGTACTTGCTGCAGTATCGTGATAATAATAAAGGATTATTTACCAACTCTCAGTAGTGGGTGCCATTTGGGGTTCCCTGCTATTTTGGGACCCAGATTTACATAACACATTTTAAGCGATTTTTACAAAATCCACAGGAAAACAAAGATATTTATTAATGAAAATGCAACTATTGATGGTGTGGAATACATCCACTATGATCTGCATTCCGACAGTTCATCCAGTTACCAGATTTAGATATAAACTGTATGTACACTGGATTAGATGTACGATACCGATTTATACTATAAGAAGATATGGACTTCAGATACGCTAGTACTATAAGATTCATACTATATAAGATATAGGCTATAGATGGCACCACGGACATGGATGGCACTATAGACTTATACTTGTATTCCGACATTGACTACGGATGTTTACCATATCTGGATAGGCACCAAGATTAATGCAATATGAGCTTGTTGCTTCAGATGTGCACTTCATGATCCACGCTATAAGACACATGCTTATATCCGTGATACTAGCTACAGATACTTTATGTACTACAGACTTGTACTATATATGAGACATGCTATAGACATGCATACGATATGCTATAGACATGCCATATATCCAGATACATGCTAAAGATGTATGCTTAGCGATATACACTCAGATATGTACTATTAATATAGACCAAGACGACTGTACCTATCGGATACATGCTACTAGATCGATATTAATTATCCTTATGGAAAGGATAGATCAGGGTACTTCGGATGAGAGTCTAATTATTCATCCAGACAGAGCTAAATCATGATTAGCTTGCTGGAGTTGTCTTTTAGCATGATTAGACATTAGTTGATCTGAGTTGACTTATTTGTCAATCTAATTAATAGAACTTTTATCCATTGTTATAGTATATAAGAAGGATCATCTACCTGGCCAGTAGAGAGACTTCAGTTTACTTTACACCTGTCAGTTTGATAATAAAATATACCTTTATCAAGTTGACATTACTGTTTTTTTATTCTTTTTTTTCCGTGAATTTTAGTCTATCAAGCCTCAAATTCCACATTTTTTTCAACTCAAAGGTTATCACTTTTACACTTTATCTTATACTCTACATTTTATTATTCTACTTTAAAAACTATTTTTATCATGTCTCACAACCAATACAACGCTACCGAAAACACTCAAGAGGATATTGCTCAAGACTCTATCCGTGTTTCTTCTCCTAATGACTCATCTATGCAAGTGGATGAGCACGCTCAACTTTCCGCAGTTGATCATCTTCTCAAGAAGATTGACACTGCTCAGGCTCGCTTGGATCAGATCCATCGTAACGCTGGTGATACTTACACTGAGGAAGAACGCTTGGCGGCTGATGAAGCATCTGCGTCTATCGAATGGCTCAGCAAGCAAGTCAGTGCAATTACTAAGAGGGCTGATTCCAAAGCAAGACCTGTCAATCTCAATGAGATCCCTCGTTTCCAGGTGGTAGGACAAGCTAAGCATTGGCCTGACCATCCTCGATTCACCACAGTCGATCATTTCTTCAGTGCTTTTGAGAACGTCATCAGAGCATCCGGTAATGAAGTAAATTTGGTTTGGAAACGCTACGTGCCTGTTTCACTGCCATTTGACTTCGAATCATGGACCAAGAATGATCTTCTGGCATGTAATGATTGGGATCAAGCCAAGGCATTGTTCCGCAAACATTTTGGTGCTCCCATCAACTCTGAGGAATCCATGGCCAAACTCTTCAGCATGCGCATGAAGAACAATGATACTCTACAGGACTATACGAATAAGTTCATGAAGTACGTCAAGGATTGTGGCTTCCCTCCTAACAGCAACATGTTAGCCAAGTTCTATCAGTTCACGCTGTTACGCAAGAATCAGCAAATGATGGTCAACCAAATGTCCGTCAAGCATGGTTCCAACCACAAATGGACTATCAACGAGATCTATGAGTGTGTGTTGCCTTTGTTCCTTGTTGACGAGCAAAATCGTGGTGATGATGATGTTGAGGTCGACATCAGAGGTAAGCGTAAGGGTGGTTCTGGTGGTTCTGGTTCAAGAACAAAGATGGCAAGGGTATCTGCCACTGGGTATTTCTGTGCGAAGCATGGCGGGAGCAATGCCAACCACAACACCATTGACTGTAAGTCAAGATTGAAGCACTTTGGCTCTGACAACAAGCCTAACCGGGCTACTACTGCTGCTCCGTATTCTATGAATTCCTCATCCTC